GTTTAGTGACACTTTAATTAAACAATTACTAAAAATCAATTGCAATAACTAGATGAATAGTAATCCAGACTGAAAATAGCAGCGGGTTTCCTTCGTATGATTTTTAGCCGTTGTTTAGAAAATGGTCTCACTGGCACAAACAGCATCCAATTTATGGGTTCCATGAGAGGGATGTGAACCCAAGATGAAATCCCTTATGATATTCATTTATACAGTGCTGAGAAAAGGATGCAAGAAAAACAAAAGCATATGTTGTGTTTGTGCTACTTGTTTTTTTTTCCGTATTTTTCTATTTCTGTTCAATGATAAGCTTTTCAACTATGCTGCTAGAGGTACTTGCTTTATAGATTTAGTTGTTACATTATAGTGAACCTTGCCTACTTCAGCTAGATTTAGAAGTGACCCAACTACCTGAAAGCATGGAGGATGGAACAGTAATGTAATGGTCACATCATGTCCATTGAGCTGTGGTTTTCTGCACACCACCTTGTTCACAACCGCACAACATACATAGGTGGTTACATGTTGGCAGTCATTATCAGGCCTGGCCATACATGAGGATGTGAACTTGTGGCCACCAAAGTTGACTGCGTCCTATGCATGGTCAAAATATTTTCAGAACTAGTCTAGAGTAAGTCTGTCTCTAGGGAATCCAAGGGGAACAATTATAAACAAGTGAACTTTATGTTTACTGCAGAATAATTTTCTTGCTACGTGTGTTTTAAACATCAGTGGTTAATTCACAACCTGTGAGGGCTAGTTCACACCAGCCACAATACGTTCCGGCCCGATTGTTGGTGTTGGGCATGGTGATGCATTTAGGGTCAATGGCATCGCAGCCAAACCCTCCAGCCACAATGCGATCGCCCGCACCAGAACGCGTGGCACATCACATGCAGCATTTTTTATGACTGCACCAGACCGGAACGCAGGCATCGGTGTGTCACGCGTTCTGGTGCGGGCGATCACATTGCGGCCGGAGGGCGAGGCTGCGGTGCCATTGACTTCAATGCACCGCCACCTCCCACCCCAAAACAGTGAGCCGGCTGGAATGCAATCCAGTGCAGTACACCAATCGGGCCGGAATTCACTGTGGCTAGTGTGAAGTACATGCGTATACACGCTGGGATCAGAAGCGGAGTTAGTGGAATAGAGAGGAATTTTACGGATGTGAACATTTTATGACCGCTTACGTCGAATCTTTCTGCTAGGAAGATCCTATATAGACATTATTTTATTATTTGTGTGCACTCATTGCTACAGCTAAAACACAGTTGTATTTCAAGAAGTGCAATATAAGACCTTGTTCACACCATGTCCAGACCAGAACAATTTGTTCCTGGACCAAAAAAAAAGCATCCCAATGCATCCCTAAGGTATTTCTGGGCTCTGTTCACACCAGCACAGTCCGTTCCAGTTTAGACAAAAAAAATAAAATACTGCGTCTTTTTTGCTGGTCTGGAACGCATGTAAAACTATCAAAACCGCATGCAAACTCATTAGAATGCACTCAAAAGCCCATTTTAGGCTACAAAAAACACACGCTGAATGACACAAAAATGCACTGCACTTGCAGATCTGCTCCAGTTATGGTCTGGACATGGTGTGAACATAGCCTTAATATCAGAAAAAACAAGCACACAAGGTTATGGCAGCACGAATGCACCTTTAAGCTATATTTCCCATGCTAATCAAACTGTACCAGTTGTGCAGAATAGGGGGGCTGGCTGTGCAGCATTGGGGGACAAACAGAAAGGTTGTACTGAAGTGGTTGTCCAAGCAAAGAATACCGTGCATCGCCTAAAAAGACAGAAACAAAAATAATTTGCACACAATACACACAAATGCTGCAATTTTTTTTTAAACAAATATGTTGGTCAAAATATACTTTAAGTGACAATTACAGACTGTACCTTGTGCAGGGCCAACAGGTCGAGGAAACTGGGGAATGACAGATAGTTGCGAAAGTCCAGTGCAAACACTGTTCATGTTAGAGCCCGGAGAAGGCGCTGGTGACTGTGCTGGGGATGTAATGGGACTGTTCATGAGATTACTGGCCTGATACAAAAAAAACAAAAAACAACCACATTTAGATTAATGAGTATCGATTTTTAATGTTGGTTCCAGCAATTCAGAGAGGTCTTAAAGAAGAACTACAACCTCCCATACCTTCTCAAACTTTCAAACTCTCAACTGAACTCTCCAGCCCTCAAATTGCTGGTGTCATAGCTGATGTACAGCACCATGGCAACTGTAATCCAAATACAGGTTAAGATGGCACCTTCCTTGGCTGTAAGGGATAGAAGGGTGTAGTCCCACTTTAAATTGGTGGGTAACGTTCCTCTTTAAAGGTATCAATAGACATGAGATTGCACAAAGACACCCGACTTTGGCAAAAACAGGTAACATGGGAACAGCACATCAACCAGTTACAACTGCAGTATGCTAAAGAGAACTGGTTAGAAAAAAACAGGTCTGTATGATTAGCAGGGTCATCAGACCATCAGCACCCCTTTGGGCAGGCACCAATGTAAATTGATCTACACCCTTATATAAAAATCCCAGTAATACATTTTGTACCATGAAAGTACCGGCTGGAATTTAATACATTAAGATGACGGTAGGTACCATGTAAATAAACATTGAAGCCAGCGCATCAGAATGCCAGTGGGGCGCATACGTGCAAAAAAGACGCGCATACGTGCAAAAAAGACGATTGCGCCCATTACGCCGGTGATGTGAGTGAGGGCAATAATTGTAGGGCCATCAATCACTGATAACACTAAACTGATGAGCGGTAAAAGCTTTTAAAGCGTCGCCCATGGCCAATTTTGGGTACGGTAATTTTCTGCGATTTCGCGGGTGCGCGCAATTTTAAAGCTTGACATGTTTGGTGTCTATTTACCCGACGTGACCCGATCTTTTATATTTTACCAAAAAACTGGGTAATAATAAATGTTTCCTAACATAATGTTAAAAAAAACTTTTTTTTCCCCAAATTTTCTGTAATTTTTCCTAATTATAGTAAAAAATAAAAACCCCAGTGGTGATTAAATACCACCGAAATAAAGCTCTATCTGTCCCCAAAAAATGGTATAAAATTCATTTCAGTACAGCGCTGCATGACGGAATAAACGTCAGTCAAAGTACCGCAGCGCTGAATACTGAAAAATGGCCTGGCCAGGAAGGGGGTCTAAACACCTGGTCTTGAAGTGGTTAAAGGAAAAAAATGGAAACCAGCTTATATTTTGTTGCTTGCAATTTCTTGGTACCTCATAACAATAAAAAGCTGTGTGTTTCTCTGCCTACCTGAGTGCTGGCATCTGCAGCGTACAGATGCTCAGGTTTCTGACCCCTTTGGTCAACACTAAAATATTTGCAGTGGTTCCACTGGACTACTGGCGGGTTCTGTGATGTCGCCTGCGGGCCATTGGGTACATTCAGCTGCATCACCACCACACCCAGGCTTGAAGGGTTGACACCTGTAATGACAGTGCATTGTTACCCGAGAAGGGAGAGAGTATGGTGTGTCAAATAAGCAAATGCTTGGAAAATTGCTAAAAAAAGTATGTTTAATATAGAACAGACATGCAAATAGATGTACCAGTTAGAGAAGCAAATGTTCTAGTGTGCATGTTCCTTCAGCAGGTATTCCTGTCTATAGAACAGATGGATGGCTCGGAGAAACTCTTCATTTCACATACTCATACTCCTTGCTTATTTTTAGGTATCTGTACATAAGATGAGTCAAATGTTTTGAGAGACTATGTGACAGCTGATTGCTACCCCTCACCAGTCACCCAGTATTTACTGGAACTCTGACAAGAAACGAGCAGTGTTTAAGAAGGATAGTTCAAAATCTTTACTATTGATGACACATTTTCATGATAGACCTACCTGCATGATCACCAACAGGTTTTTAACCTTTTTACCGCCACCATATTATAGCACACCAGTAACAGGATATAAATATTTACTTTAGGCAGAGTCGGCTTTGGGATCTCTATTAGAAGTGACTTGCTTTACATAGTTACATAGTATTTGAGGTTGAATAAAGACACAGGTCCATCAAGTCCAACCTATTGCGTGTATGTATGTGATACATATTAGAAGTGACTTGCCTTCATAAATAAAAACATTAAAATAAAAAAAGGTTGGGCTCCTCATCACCCATGTGTCCCAGGCTCACCTGTACCCACTAGGAGCCCAGGATGTCAATGGATGGTGTCAAGATGGAGAGCACTGAGGGAAACCAGCAGATCGGACAGTTTGTCCTCGCTCTGCCTGAATAGAGTACAGAGGTGGCATCAGGAGTCTATCAGACCCCCCGATGCCTGCATAAAAAGCACCTGTGACTCTATATATGTTATAACAACTTGTGATGGCATTGAAGAAAAAGAAAAGTAAAAACATTTAAAAAATGTAAAATATAAAACGCTAAAGCCCTCAAAAACACATGCTTATGGTGCACATGGGCGCTTAAACGACAACTGTGCAATGCATATTGGGCCAAACAAGCTGGCAGGAGAGGAAAGATACTATGGTAATCATTTATGGATAACTCTAAACTGATGAGCTATAAAAGGTTTTTGGAGCGTTTATGGTCAATTTTGGGTATGATAGTTCTTCACTTTTGCAGGCTCACCCAATTCTGATGCTTGGCATCTAGTCTTCTCAATCTTGTCATCAATCTTGTCATTTATTTTTAGCAGGAAATTGGCAGAATATATTGTTTGCATGCACTAAATAGAATTTTAATGTATTTTTACTGTAACTATATTGTACATATAACGTACAGCTGCCTAGATAACTTCTACTGAAAAGCCAAGAGTACATTGAGAGCTTGTTTACATTCTTTTATTACTGCACTGTAGTAATTATGGCAGAGGCAATAAAAGGGTTAACTCTTAAATAAAAAGAGGTATGAGTGAAAAATTACCTGCTTTTAACCCCTTCATGACTGAGGCCTTTTTTTCATTTTCTGCACTCATGTTATATTCCACATTTTAGGCCTGAAAATTACTTAAAACCCCCCAACATTATATATTTTCTATATTTTCTGGTGGTAGTTGCAAATGTTTATGTTGCGCAATATTAGCGCAACTCCTTATTAAACCCCAAAATTTAGTGATACATTTAATTAAATGCCCCAAAACACAACAAAAAATACCATTTTTTTAAAATGAAATATAAAAGATGAGGTTACAACGAGTAAAACGATACAAAACATGCCCAGTTTACAAATTGCGTGCGTCCGTGAAACAGCGAAAAACTGCAGTACCCCAAAAAGTCCACAGAAGACGCTTTAAAAGCCCCCACAGGTCATCAATTTAGAGATACCCCAAAATACTGGCCCTAGAATGATTGCTCTCACTCCGGCGTGCGCGGCGATACCCAACATGTGTAGCGCGTTCGTCGTTTTCATACGTAGGCGCACCAGACGCGTGTTTACGTGGCGACGCGTGTGCGACTTTAAAAAAAAATGTATTATTAGATTTATTTTATTTGAAAAGCTTACAAGCCCCATGTGATAGCAGATGGTGGTGACAGGTACTCTTTAAGGTGATGCTGGTGGTCCAAAAGACCCCCAGTGTCCTTTGCACTGGAAATAAGCTATTGAAGTGCAGATCGCACTTCAATAGCTTATAGCTGGGCTGCAGGAGCCCAGAACTGACAGCCCAGGGACCGGAAGTGATGCAATCTGCATCGCTCCCGGTCCCATAGAACGGGGAGGGGATCGATGAACGGAAGTTCGTCGACCTCCTCCCCAGCTCCCCGCGGACACCAAGGACGCCAGTCCCGGGCCCGTAGGAGGGGCAATGGAGCCCGGCGGCCCCTTCTTCGGGACACAGAAGCGATCTGGCGACAGGTAAGTCGCCAGAATCGCTTCTGTTGTAAAGCCGACAGTCGGCTCTACAAGTTTAAACAGACTCCCGGCGGCAAAAGTCGCCGGGAGTCTGTTTAAACAGCCCCGATGCTGGCGACGTACACTGTACGTCAGTCACAAAGGGGTTAAAGTGTATTCCCACTTTCACAGCCAAAGAACACAACCACCTATATATTTGTTACATGTTCTCATTTACATAACATGAGCTATAAAAATATTTTTAAAATGCTTCTTGCAGTTTAAATTGCATTTACTTGTGTAAGGGGTGTTTTCAAGTTTGTCTACGAAAGTGAAAATTCACTTTACATTTTATTTTCTCTCATTGCTTTTTTTGTTTACCTGAATACTGCTGTTGCATTTGTTGAGGGCTGCAGGGAGAAGGAGACTGAGGCATCTGGTACTGCTCAGAGCCATGAGGCGGAAGATAACCCACAGATGTGCTAGGGGAAAACAAATAAATTAATCAATATAAGAGAGATTGTTGTATATAAAATTAAACAAACTGATTTTATATCTGGACAAAGCTTAAAGGAGAACTATGAGGGGAGTGTTTTTCATTCATCCTCAGTTTGAACCGACGTGTGACAATGAAACGGTCACATGTCGGCTCTATAGATCGGGAAGTGAGCGAACACATACCGCCGCTCGCTCACTTTACGATCATCTCCTTGCAGAGAGCCGTGACTCTCAGTCACCGCTCCCCACAGGGATTCCCCCCTCCGATCCTCCAGCGCTGAGTGGCAGAACGGACGGGGAAGGGCACAGCAGGCTCTGCCACTAGATAGGCAGAGCCCGCTGTCATTCATGCAGCTGGGTGGCTCTGGACAGCATTGTCGGGATCCGTCCCGGCTGCGGCGCTCTCAATATATAGCGAGCTTTAGCTCCCTAAATACTGAGCTTTGGGTCACGGGAGGACGCTAGTATATGTCCTCCCCTGACCCTTGAGAACCTGGGGATAAAAAGGTTACTCCCATAGTTTTCCTTTAAGTTTCCAAAAACCGTGATGCAAAAACATCTGCAATTATTAGAATGCTCTCACCACACAACACCCAGGTAGGGCCCCAGTCACATCAGAGCGTCTTGTAGCTCAAATCCTGAGGCTACAAAACTCTCAACATAAAAAATCCCATTGTCTGCTATAGTGTCTGTCCACACTTGAGCATCCGGGCAAAAGATTGTGGCTCCAGAACATACAAGAGCTCCTTTTGAGGCAGGATCAAGTGTTTTGGCTGCATATATTTTAATGGCAGTGCCTAAAAAAGTATGTATGTATGTATAAGCATTTTTCAGGCACTCCTACTTGAAAGGTTTATGGGGCCAAAAGGCTTGATTCTGATTCTGTACCACACGTAGTGCACAAACACTTTGAAACCTTGGTAATAAAATAGAATGCCTGTAAATCACCTGGCTACACTGTGGTGTGAATGCAGGTATAGCAACAGTAACACACATTGCAGCAAGACAATATCAGTTGACTTCTATAATCTCCTTTTACAATGTACGTAATCTAGTGTTCACTTATTCCCAATACAAAAGATCAAATGACATCCATGTTCCTGTTATTAATGGATTTTGGAAGAGATCATAAACATATTCACAAGCACAAAGTGTATTTCAAGTTATCATGGGGTTCCACATGCCCTAGTCTCAAATTAACCAAACATTTGCTGTGACTCATTTTCAGTGCCAGGAATATTTTGATGACACATAGCAGTATGATAGATTAATAGGCTATATACATTTGTAGGGCTTGTTCACACCAGACAGTGCGTTCCGGCCCGATCGCATTGTGGCCGGCTCACTATGTTGTGTGGCAGTCCATTGAAGTGAATGGCACCGTAGCCACGCACTCTGGCCGCAATGCGATTGGCCGCAGAGGAACGCAAGGCACATCAATGCTTGCGGTACGGTCCGAACAAAATAGTGCTTGCAGTATTTTGTTCAGACCGGACAACAGGCATTGGTGTGCCTTGCGTTCCTGTGTGGCCAGAAAGCGCGGCTACGGTGCCATTCACTTCAATGGACAGCCACGCCCCCTCCTGCCCCACAACATAGTGAGCTGGTTGCAATGTGATGCAGTGCATTCTGGCCAGAATGGGGCCGGAACACACTGTACCTGGAGCGTCTTTATAGCCAGAGAGGTTCACAGGAGCTCTGAAGTCAAGTAAATGACACAGGGTAGAGTAGATTCTGTAGCGATGAGGAATTGTACAGTCTCTTGTGCTGCACTACAGCCTAGAGGCAGATACTACGCTGGTCCTCTTTTATTATAATTGAGCATACAAGTATAACAACTTAAAAATGCCATAGAGGCATACTGCATTAGGCCAATTCCTGGATGAATTATTCTCATACAACCCCTCATTTATAATGAATAATAGTGACATACCTGGAACCATTCTGCTGTGCTGGTGGTATAACACTGTAGTAGACTGGCATCCCTCCAGCTTGCATGGTTCCCTGCACAGTCTGATTGGTGGGAACAAGTACAGGTTGCTGATAGGTCTGTGACACAACTCCCTGCGATTCGTTTCCCACTGGAACCTGTTTCAAGGGCAAAGTTCATGTTAAACACAAGCTGGTTTATTCACGTGGAAAGAGCAATAATCTACTGTACCGTAACACCCAACTGGAAAAATGCTTTTACAACCTTATATACAGTTCACGGTTAGCGGATGCCTGAATGCTTTAGAAAAGGGACATAAAACTGTGCACCCTCCTCCCTTCCCTGACATTTAATGCAACTGTCAACCGTACTTCCTAATTAGAGCCTACAATTCCCAGGTTCCTGAAAACCTGGCAGCTTCCAACAGAACTTGGTGCTGCATGTTACATATAAGGGCTGTTCTTGGTGAAAAGGATTTTTTCTTTTTAGGTCCACAAATTAGTCTCCTAGTCTTGGTCCAAGCTCGTTTTAGGGTTTATATTTTACTTGAAGCTGATCTCAAGGCAAAAAGCCAAAAACACAGTCGCAATACATACATAAGACCCTATCTCCTAAGCTAGAAGTATTTCTTTCTATCCTGTCCTGAGATTTATACAGCCCTACTAAGCAGCACAGCTAGCCTGGTGACCTGACTTGTCTACTGCAGTTATACAGCACAGCTTGGTCACATACCCACCCTCAGCATGTCATTGGACAGTAAAGAGGCAGCGACAGACCAGTAAAAAAAAAAAAAATCTCTGCTCTCTCCTCGTCAGCACATGTGAATGCAGCACACGATTGGCATCAAGTACTCGCCTTCCTCCCCAGTATAAGTCCAGCCGTAGAGGGAATTACAAGTCAAATCTAATATCTGCCTGGGGTTCACATTTAACAGTGGAAAAGATTTTCACACAGATCCGTGTACACTCACCTGATATGAAGGAAGTGGAGTGTACTGCACCATCATGCTTTGCATTTGATTTCCAACACTTGCCCTCTGGTTATTGAGCATGGCAGGATTTTGTGACTGCTGAACACCCATCATTCCCTGGTAAGCAGGTGGCTGGTTGGATATTATGGGCTGCATACCTGTGATATTAACACAGCAGAAAAGAATCATGACAAACTGTACATAAAAGCAAGGGCGTGTTAGTTACTACTTAGTTGTAGTTTATTAAAAATAAATGAGAGCATTCAGTATGCAATGTGTGTATGGCTTTCATCCTACAGCTGAAAAGGATCCTATTATTATTAATAAACCCTTTTCACTTTCCTATGGTACCAAATCTGCAGTAAGCAAAATGTTTTCTTTGGCAGAAATGAACATTTAAAAAAAAAAAAGCTTCCCAGAGAGAAGGGTAACAAGGTTAGAGATGAAAAAGGGAGGGAAAGAATGTGAACATTCGTATTTTACTTTACATTATAAACCCCCAATATGGGTAATGTATATAAGGGCGTCTCACCAGGTTGCTGAGGAGGCTGGGTGACCTGCTGATTGCGCTGTGAATTGTAGGCCGCTGTGTGCGGGAGAGGTCGGTATTGCTGGCTAGAGTTTGGATATTGACCCGTGGGATAATAAGAGACCTGAATCTGGGATAGAAAAAAAACCCATAACTTTTCTATGTACATTTCTGATACGATCTGCTTCAAAAATGAAAAAAAGAAAATCTGACAGATTGCAAACATAATTTTGAAGAGTACAAACTAATTTTTCAGATGCTAAATAAAATGCAGAGACCACCCCACAGGCATCTTAATGAATTGGAATATAAAGTAAAAATCAGAGGGACTTTAGAAGTTTTAAAGCGCAACTGCAGAAATAATAAACCCAATCAGCAAGGTGCTTACTAGAAAACATAACATGCAGATAAACCTCATCAAGCACCGCAAGACTAAAAAGAGCAGATTTAAAAAAACATGTATAGTTTTATTACAGGTTTAAGAGATTTAAAGAATCCAGTCGATCGTTCAGCATTGAGAATGATCAACTAACCAAGGTAAAGTGAAATTTTTGAACTGCTACATTATCACCACACTACCTCAAAAAATATTTTCACTAAAGTGATACATGCACTATGAAGCATATCACATCTATTAAAATCATTGTGCACATTTCAGGTGTCTCCTATTGCCAACAATAGGTTTTTTTATATACAAGAAAGCTCCATCATGAGTGAAAAACAGATACAAGAAGTCAACTTAAGGTTCCATGACCAGTAAATGGTTGTGAACTTCTCACTGACTACTATAGGAATGCATTGTCTTGGTAAATGAATCCCTATTCTGCTTTTTATTATTATACAGGATTTATATAGTGCCAGTAGTTTGCGCAGAGCTTTACAATATAAGGATCACATTACAATTACAATACAAGACATGAGGAGAGCCCTGCCCCTAAGGGCTTACCATCTAAAATAGGGAGAATGCTAGCTTTCAAGCTGTCCTAAGCTAGTAACAATAACTGCTGTAGAGGTTTTTAAACCAGCAATAGCAGATGTCTGCTATACATAACAGAAATACATTTTATTGTATGTCAATTTTCTCCAGTAAGGACCGCATGACACACCTGGAATTATGGTGAACATTGTTTTTCTTAAGCAGTGAACTATGGCATTAAACGAATGTACTTCTAAACAACAGAGGTAGTGCAAACACCGCTATTTTCGCTTGGTAACACACAGTTGTCCCTTCTGAACGCTCATGCATCCTGTAGTGACATACAAGCCAGTGGGAGAAACCCAAGCGTGTGGCGGGGAAGTAGGTATTCCAGACACCCAGGGAGTGGTCAAGTGACAGCATTTTAACAAATGAGACAGCAGACCTGTAAGAACATCATAGCTTCTTTTAGCAGGAATGCTTTGAAAAACAATTGGCCCTGTGCTGAAATGATCACTTTAACAAAGGCTATACTTTATTATGCAATTTTGCCCCTTCAGGAAATGTTTTAACGTTGTTCTGCCGAAGGTAAAAGGGTCGTCAGTTGCAATTATTGCTAAGTCGATTACAAAAGTGTTACTGAACTGAAATGAAGTAGGTGTGGACATAAGGTGGCACACTGAATATTTATTCCATTCAGCTTGACCCACTGTTTGAGTTTGACGTGCCTGGTGTAAAGTGCCATCAGAAACTGTGCTTTACATCCCACCAAAGAGCTCTGAGGTCTTCCGGTCAATCCAATATTTGCAGTTATCAGATGTGCTGCTGTAAGCAAACTCTCCTAACACCGCCACGTTGGTCTGAACACAAGTATTCATAAAGATATCATAACTTTATGACTTTTCCTAACAATACCTACTTGCTGTGGAGGCTGCATGAATCCCTGTGGTGGCATGACTTGCTGGGTTGGGGAAGGGTGCCCTGAGGAAGGGTAACCAGTTGGAGGGATGGCTTGTCCCCCAGATGTCATGATAAAGCCAGCCTGCTGGGGATGCTGGGAAATAAGAGATGACTGGTAGATGGCAGCAGAGGGATCAGGAACCTCAGATGAACCCTGCCGACTGAGTGTCATCTGCCCAAAGTGACTGTTCAAATCATCAGCCTGTCGTTAAAAAACAGGTAAAATTAGATATTAGGTTCTTCACATACAATAGTCTATACAAATCAATAGTCTGACATGTCCAGTCAGTGAGCAAAAGGTTTGTTGGCATAGAAAGCATATTTTATTCAGCTAAAAGACATATTTGGTATTAAGTCATTAAGAAACAGTTATTAATAGGGCTATAGTCAAACAGATACATATGAAAAACAGAAATATGGAACCCTGCTTGTTGATATTTACCCAGCAAAAAACTATTCAGCTAAGCAGACTTTCAAAAAATTCCCAGTTTTCAAATCTTTTTCTACAGTGAAAGCTATAAAGTGAAAATTACATACTTGTGCAGTCCTCAAATTTAAATCTTGACTGCACCTACCTAGTATAGTTGCTGGAAGGCATTTTCTGTTTTTTCAGTTTTAGGTGAACTTCCCACTAAAACCTTGGCCCAAGAAAATCTAAAAGCAAATGAGCAATTGCTTTTATGGCTTATTTTTAACCGTGAAGCTTTGCTATTCTACTGCGAACAACTAAGCAGTACCCTGAAATATTTAGTTTTTGTCTAGAATTCCTCATGAAAAAGATCAATGAACTTCCTTGCGCCTGGGCACTGCTTTTTTTTGCAGCTTGATAGCTGAAGGGTAAGATCACCTAATGCACCACTGCCTCTGTTAGTCTCATACTACGGTGTAGAAATGAGCAGTATAACAAAGCACAACCCCATGTACAGCATCAAAACGGATTAGACACTGGTCTGCATTTAGAAAGGGAGAGAGCAATATGCAAAATGAAGTTCAATATAAACCCTAAATAGTTGTGTAACATTGCTCTCACTGTTCTAAACTGATAAAGGTAAAATATGATTATGGGTTAATGTAACTCACGGGGGAAAATAGCTAGTACACATTGGAAATACATATTTGTGAACTGTATTTCCAGCCAAGCAATTTGGCTCAGCCACTCTTTTTCCACTACACTGCGCAGTCAGCGAAGTCAAACTACCCTGAGAACTAAGTGACTAGGTTGATACATGATCTTTTGAGCAAGCTGGAGAGGTGATATAGGAAGCAGCATTTGAGCACCAGTAAATAATTGTGCCCCCTTTGCAATGTGGCAGATATGGGCAATGAAAGATATTTGCCAAAGAGAACTAAAAATAAAAAATCATTTTGACAGGAAAATTGTAAACCTATGTATTTCAGTGTTTTCAGCGTTCTGCTAAAGCAGAACTAAAGTTTTGTTTGTTTTCAGTGCAAATAAAATTGAAATGGAAATGTAGTGCAAATTAAATCAAAAGGAAAAATGAATGCACCATTATTGCAAAACTATGCATCTTTTGGCTTTTTCAGACTACCGTGCAGGTATAGGATCAGGACCTGGGATTCTATATGACCTTTTGCTTTCAGCTCCTCTGGATGAAAAGCTCAGACATCCAGGGCTTTCCATACCGCCCTCTTGGTACGTTATTAGGTTCCCTTATTTGTATAAGGGCAGAAGACATGCACAGCGCAATGTGGCTCCTCCCAGCCCTGAATTCTCACTTCTCATTAGCTGACAGCTGTGTCTATTAAAATAAGTGACAAGTGGCTTGTAAAAGAGCAGGGGAGAGGGATGATCAGGGTCCATTACATGCTTGATTGTGGGCAAAGAATAAAAATATTTCCATTTACAGAGTGATATCAAATGGTAGCACATCCTGCTGAGGAATTGCCTAGACAAGATGCCATATGGTTGCCAAATACTAGCAAATTATATAAACTGCGTGCTAATCATAATAAAAAAAAAAGGGGTGGGGGCAGAAAGAGAAACGGACAAGAATGTTTGTATTTACATCCAAGTTACTACTTTAACCCCTTCATGACTGAGGCCTTTTTTTCATTTTTTGTACCCATGTTATATTCCACATTTTAGGCCTGAAAATTACTTAAAACCCCCCAACATTATATATTTTCTGAATGCCAAGACCCTATAGAATAAAATGGTGGTAGTTGCAAATTTTTATGTTGCGCAATATTAGCGCAACTCCTTATTAAACCCCAATATTTAGTGAAAAATTTAATTAAATGCCCCAAAACACAACAAAATACCAATTTTTTTAATGAAATATAAAAGATGAGGTTACAACGAGTAAAACGATACCCAACATGCCCAGGTTACAAATTGCGTGCATCCGTAAAACGGCGAAAAACCCCAGTACCCCAAAAAGTCCATAGAAGACGCTTTAAAAGCCCCCACAGGTCATCAATTTAGAGATACCCCAAAATACTGGCCCTAGAATTATTGCTCTCACTCCGGCGTGCGCGGCGATACCCAACATGTGTAGCGCGTTCGTCGTTTTCATACGTAGGCGCACCCGACGCGTGTTTACGTGGCGACGCGCGTGCTCGCGGGGGGGGGGGACTTTTACATTTTTTTTATTATTATTAGATTTATTTTATTTCATTTTAATTTTAAAAACTGTTTTGTTTTTTTTTTTTACTTTACTTTGACTGCTATCACATGGGGGGGCTTGCAAGCCCCCCCATGTAATAGCAGATGGTGGTGACAGGTCCTCTTTAAGGTGATGCTGGGGGTCCAAAAGACCCTCAGTGTCACCTTTACACTGGAAATAAGCTATTGAAGTGCAGATCGCACTTCAATAGCTTATAGCTGGGCTGCAGGAGCCCAGAACTGACAGCCCAGGGACCGGAAGTGATGCAATCTGCATCGCTCCCGGTCCCATAGAATGGGGAGGGGATCGGTGAACGGGGAGGGGATCGGTGAACGGAAGTTAGTCGACCTCCTCCCCAGCTCCCCGCGGACACCAAGATCGCTGGTCCTGGGCCCGTAGGAGGGGCAACGGAGCCCGGGAAGCACGGCGGGGGTGTCCGGCAGTGGGGGGGTGGCCCCTTCTTCGGGACGCAGAAGCGATCTGGCGACAGGTAAGTCGCCAGGATCGCTTCTGTTGTAAAGCCGACAGTCGGCTCTACAAGTTTAAACAGAGTCCCGGCTGCAAAAGTCACCGGGAGTCTGTTTAAACAGCCCCGATGCTGGCGACGTACACTGTACGTAGTCAGTCACGAAGGGGTTAAAGACCATGTCCAACATTCATGTTTCCAACATTCATGTCAAGTCACGAACTTCTTTTTCTTAGCAATTTGGATGAAAGGCATCCGTGCTGAAGTTCCCAGCTGTATCACAAGCATGAGCATTATCGACAGGTTCTGTCCAAAGCTGTAAATGTAAATATAGTGTTCAAAGTTATACTTTAAAAAAAAAGGTTTAAGACTGTACCATCTAGCATGGCACAAAGAGCTAGGAGGAATACATCCTAATATGCACCAGCAGATTGTTAATCCAGCCAAATAAAATAAAATCCTTCTCTTGGGCAAGTCTTAAGGTGGCCATACACTGTACAACCATCGCAAGACCTTAGTCTTGCGATGGTTGTAAAGTAATTTAAAAAACGTACGATCTGCCCATCTTGGACAGGCAGATCGTACTCTCGATCATCGCAAGCCCGCCCCCCCGAGGGGCGGGCTTCCGATGACCGCAATGCTGAATGGGCAGTGTGCGCACACAGGCCCGTTCGGCATTTGTCTCCCGAGCACCGTTCAAACCAGCCGAAAATCTTTTCGGCTGGTTTTCTAGCGTGCTCCCTAGACAAAAGACGTGCGACCGTACAGTAAAAGCGGTCGCACTTCTTCCATACACTTTGTGATTATCGTACGGTCGCGGGATTTCCCGCGATTATCGTGTGATAATCGCATAGTGTATGGGCACCTTTAGGCTTTTGGGTTATCCTGTCACCTACATGAGGACTGAAAACTGGCAAACAAAAAAAACTGCAAGCCATCCCAGAACAAGCATGCCTAAGTTGTTTTTCTTTATTAAAGCAATACAGAGAGCATGATCATAAACACAGAGGTGTGGGACCTGTCTCTCTCACAGGTTTTAATGGCTAGTAGAAAATGTATTTTCATTGGTCGACAACTGAGGGACAAAGATAGTCTTAAACAGTGGCCTGTCTGATCCGCCTAGAGATGGTGGAAAAGGAAGCCAGTGCACCCTTATACGGTCGATACAGCATTAGAAAGAAGTGGCTGAGAGAAACTTACAGACTTCTAAGCACATCTAGACAGTGGAGGGAAATCCCCTATTGGTGAACTGGAGCTGGACAGAGGAACAGAAGCTGGACTTGTCCTGATTGAGGTGAAAGGCAGAACATACCTTAGGAGAGAAGAAATTCCTGGGCCTCAACACTACCCTGTCTCTCTGCAAAACTAGAAAGGGTCCCTTGTAGGATAAGGCCACTAGTTTAGAGACACACTCGCGTTGCTAAGGTGAAGACTAAAAGAAACACCACGTTGTGAAAAAAATATTATAGAAACAAATGTTCCTAATGGGTACAAATGGCAGATTTCTGAAGCACAGAAAGCCAGTTGGGGGTCATTCCCAGAGTCAGATGGGGGCAGCTACAGGCAAAACCCTCCGTACAAAAGTCTTAAAGAGTGAGAGGCCAATGGTCCCTGAAAACTGAATAGAAAGGGCAGAGAATCACAGACAGAAACCCTTGTCCTCCAGATCCTGGGCTTCAATGGCCATGTTGTTAAAGCCAGCAAATGTGAAGCAGGATAGTAAATTGGTCCATGGGGCAGATGATCAGAATGATCCAGTGAGTCCACAGAGCATCTACCAAGAGTATCACCGGGTGTACCACAATAACCTGGGCCAGTCGGGACCAGCAAGGATCATCGGAGTGCCCTCTATCTCTATCCTGTGAAGCAGACTAGAAGTTTCAAAGGAGGAAAGTCATAGATTAGGGTGTACTAATCCTACAGAGCCACCAAAGCTTCCACTAGAGTCTGTTGTTGAACCTGGAGGCCAGTGGATACACATCCAGAATCCCGCTCCCATGACACAGGTCCTAAACAACTCAGGGTGTAGGGACCACTCCCCTGAGTCCAGGTGCTGCCAGAAGAGGAAGTCTGCTTCACAATTACCTACATCTGGAATGTTACGGCTGAAAAGGCTGGAACATGAAGTTCTGACCAGGACGGGATTCAATGCATCTTTCTTGCAGCAGGGAGACTTCTGATTATTCCCCGATGATTGATGCAAGTCACTACAGGCAGACAGCAGGAATGGATCAATGATCCACATGGCTCATTGCAAGCAGGAGCAGCAGCGAGGAGATAATTCCTGGACGATGAATGGAAAAAAAAAGAACGCAGAGCGCTCTACCCAGTGGTTTACGTAGGCGCTCAGACTCACAACATTAACAACTTCCATAGCACAAATGGAGGAATGGGAAATAAAGGCCCCCTGCGACCTGAGTAACTGAGGTATGTCCCAGGGCTTGGCCCAACCAGCCTAATCACCAAATGTGTCTTCAGAGACAAGGCGAATGCTAAGGGAACGCCAACAGCTTTGGACCTGGAAAGTGCTCTGAAGCTAACTTTTAGCAGAATGGAGTATGTAAAGTGCTCTATGCAGACCCCAGCATCCCAAAGGTCATTTCCAGGCGTCCATTCCAATGGGGTCAGGACACAATATTCCAAAAGCCAGGCTGTGCTAGTGTGTTCCAGAAAGCTCCATTTGAAGAGACAACGCTCCAGGGGTAATGTAGAAAAAAGTCCTGATTGAAGAGCAAGGAAAAAAAGGGGTGCTACCAGAAATCCAGTTAGCCTGTTGAAATGATGTCCATCTTCCTAGGACACTAGCAAAAAACGGAGACATGCTAGGAAGAGGAGTTCTAACCTGGGGTGGTCAACAGTGCCCAATCTTCCTGTAGGCAGCAATATAACCCAAAACTTTAAGACTTCTTGTTTCCTTCAAAGGAGTAGAAAGTTAGTTCTCTATTTTACATTATATACAACACACTTCACACCCCAAAACTTTGCAACATTAGCATTAAACTCTTTTAATAGGCTCAGCAGTGTTGTAAATGAAGATCTACAACATTTGTAAGAAGTGTGAGGATTACTTAAATTATAGGAGTCTATCTAGTACTTGAATGTCAGCTTTGGTTGAGCTAAATTATTTCAAATCCCATACACAAGCCTTTAAAGCACATGTGTCAAACTCAAGGCCCAGGGGCCGATTCCGGGCCACCAGGCCATTTTCTAGACTTCTACTTTCAGATCTAGGTATTAAGTTATTACTAAAACCAGTGATAATCGCAGAGGCAATTATGATAAAGATTAGATACATTTATATAGTCTTACAGATACCTTTGAGGGCAACCATAATGTTGATGTGGCCAACGATTAAATTGAGTTTGACACCCCTGCTTTAAAGTATATCATGGCAAAGCCCCTAAAGTAGGCACAGCCCTGTACTATACAGGTAGTAAATACATGTCACTTCATCTACTTGGTTAGAAAACTTAAAAGAAAAATGCTCTTCATGTCAACCTTTTAGCAAATAAAAATAAAGCAATGAAACCGTGAGCTTGCATCCATACTAAAAAGTATCTAAATATTTTCCCATTAGAAAGGACTGCTAGCTGTTTACCAACCCCTCAAACAAGCAGAGATCCAATAAGATAGGAGGGAACAGGTAAAGTGAATATACCAGATTGTACTGCTGGGGAGATGAAACTGGCAGAAGGACTTGGGGGCAGGAGCTGGCGGAGTACTGGACCGGTTGTGGAGAGGGCTGAAGGGTCTTGGAGCCAGCACAGCAGCATGCAGAGAACAGGACAAAAAGGGTGGGGATGATGCAGTGTGAGATGAGGGGAAACAGTGGTGGGATATTAGGAAAGGGTTAAGGGAAAAAAGAAAAAAAAAAGGAAAATTGTTAGTTATGCATTTTATTTCCAAGGTACATATTTAGAGACATTTACAGCAAGGCACCATTTTAATTAGTTTTGTTCAATTCTGGAAGCGTATACTATGAATGAGTCATAAGCGTTTTAAAAATAAAAACTTGAAAACCATTTTAAAATCATATTCCCATTAACCACTAATGATGACAGGCAGCAGAAAAAGAACACCCCAGAATTCCACTAGAATCACCCTAACACAAACTCCAGATTAATATTTACTAATATACATGGGGTCTGCCAAATTATATAAACTTTGGTATACTTGCATGAGCTAGAAATGCTACCTTTCATTAGAAAGAATGACACATTATTTAGGTGTCTCACATGTACAATAACATTTCATGAGACCAGGATCTCGGCCTACTATATCAGCTGTTGGATGTAACAGAGCAATAGAGCTTCTGTTAAATATGAGGCAAGCTGCAAGACAACAGGCTCAATTCATAAAGCAAACGCCTAAATGAGGATCATTTTATTTTTAGCCAAAACAATGAGGTTTGAAATCTATAGCCACTTGGCAAAAAATAGATCCTTATCCTTCTGTTAAAGGGGGTAAACCATCCTTTAGGTTTTTGTTGTTGTCCGTGTCGATAAGGAGATTTATGTACTGTACTGTCCTGGTGACCAAAGATACTGGACAGAAAGTGAAGAAAAACCTTACAATGGAGCACTTATTTTGGCGACTGCTGTCTAAGAGGGTATTTCTCTCACTTTGAAAAGTTTTCCTTTCCTCTCACTTTGTGTTGTCTCTACAAAGCTACAAAACACAAGTGAAGGGAAAAATCCCACATTGGACACAGATGGCAAAAGAACCCTGGCAGATGTTTAAAGGAGAACTATGAGGTGAGTGCTTTTCACTCACCTCATAGTTCTAGCCGACCTAGTCAGTCATGCAGCTGGGCAGATCCAGACATAATTGTCGGGATCCGCTTCAGCTGTAGCGTCTTAGTATAACGCGAGCAGCAGCTAGCGGTATACTGCGGCGTCTCAGTATACCGCAAGCTACAGCTCGCGGTATACTGAGCCTAGGGTGACGGGAGGACGCTAGTTTGTGTCCTCCCGTTACCCTGAGAACTACGGGGAAAAGCCTTAACCCCATAGTTCTCCTTTAATCATTTCCTACTTTATGCAAAATGTATAAAAACTGACAGGTTTGGTTTTAACCTAAGGACTCAAAAGCAATATATACGTAAAAGAGCGTTATAGGGAGAATAAAATACACTCCCCCAATACAATCCCCATAAAAAGCGCCGATGTGTGACAATGAAACTGTCACAGGTCGGCTCTATTGATCGGGAAGTGAGCGATTAAATAACGCTGATAGGTCAGTTCCCGATCTTCTCCTTGCAGAGAGCGGTAAATGTCAGTCCCCACAGGGATTCCCCCCCATCCCCTCTCCATTCTTCCAGCACTGACTTGAGAAACAGACGGGGGAGGGGACAGGCACAGCTAGCTCTGCCTCTAGAGAGGCAGATCAGCTGTCAATCAGGCAGCGGGGAGGATCGCAACAATATTATTAGGATCCATCCCGGCTGAGCGCGGCTATGCGAGGTCAGCATTTAGCGGGCAATAGCCCACTCTATGCTGAATTTTGGGTTACAGGAGAACATTAGTATATGTCCTTCTGTAACACTAAAGAGAACTATGCCAAAAAAAAAAAAAGTTGGGCCATAGTTCTCTTTTAGGAGCACACCTAGAATTGTAATGAATACTAGGCATTCTCTAATTGGATGGGCCATAATGGTGCCGCCCCTCACCCAATCAGAGAACACCTGGTTGCGGCTAGTACAGTATATCACATGATCCCCGTGGCCCTGCCAGAGATCATTTATATATACTAAACCTTGTGCCAAACTGGACCAAAATAAATATAAATATTTTTATTAAAGCTGGAGCTCGGTTTTAAAATCTGATGTTTGGCTGTCTAATAGGGATTCATTAGAATAGTTAATGTGAAAAGTGTCCAGTAAAAAAATGCACCGCATAACCCCAGATGAGAAGCAGCAGAGTCCCTTCGAACATGACAATGTTTAGGGATACTCTGTCTTTTGAGGAGTCTGACATTACAGGAATCGTATCCTGCTCACTCTTGCTTCTGATTACTGGAATTAACTGAGTGCGTGATCAGGGCCATCTTAAAAAACAGGAAGAGCTGTATAGCGATTGATTTCACCTCTGCTAGTTTAAGTTTGGGCAAAACAGCAGCTGCGATTGCTTAATCATTCACAGCTATCCTCAAACGGATTTGAGGAAAAGGTTGTCTGAGTCTAGATATGCTTTAACTGAAAGGCATATTTTTATAAGGCATCCGAGTTGAAACAAAGTCATCAGACAGCATAGAATGAAGTTATGAAGAGGACAAAAAAAGTAATCAACCTTGGATGACAGCTGACAGGGGCAGCATTTTATGGCTGAGATAAATTTGAAGGAGCAGACTACACTTATTATTCATCTCAGGTCAACATAAATGCATGAACGAATGCAGACAAAAAGGTAAGCAAAGTAAAAAACCATCAGAGAGAATAGTATAAAGATCAATGGATTCTGTCAAATATGAAAAGAACGTATTAAAAAGCTAGAGTGAAAGACAGTAGATGCATGCAGAGTGACAGGCTGTACAAGCTGGACTTGATGACACTGTCTGGTGACTCACCTGTGACATTAAGTGGTTACTCATGGATTGTTGCTGAGGAGTGGGTGGAAGTGCCTGGTGAGGATGGGGATGTTGTTGCTGTGCAGTGCAAGATATGATGCTTCTAGTGGACTGCTGGGAGGAGGTGGCTTGGCTGCATACTTCTGGGGTGCTTATTGGCAGGCCTGCCAGAACAAACAGCCGAAAGCAAATTAGAAATAAAACATTTAGCCACAAAAATATGTAGAACTGCTTCACTGTCATCAATACAGCTATAACAAGAATCAAACCACATGTACAGGCTTATTCAAGTAGTGCACAAAACAAGAAGCATTATAAACAATAAGCTCACCTGATCAGTTCATCAAATAAGATTCACCTGATGCTTGGTCAGTGCTCACCTCTCTCCGGCTCTGCAATGTCCCTCGGCGTTCTCACATCTAATGCAAGTCAATGGACCTGCATTAGATGCAATTATATCAGCAATCTTTAGACAAATGGAGCCCAAGGGAGAAGAAGCTGCAGGGACCGGTCTAGCAGCACCAAGAATCAGGTGGGTATATCTGCTTTATTTGACACCCAATCCCCCTCCCCCCCGAAAAAAAAGCACTTAAACTTTGCAGGGTGGGGGTAGCCCCAATGCAGGGTACTTTTATTAAAAATTCCTAGAGTTCTTCCTTAAGTGGAAAAAAAAAAAAAAAATCAGGCTAAAATTGTAGAGTATGGAATAAGCGAGAGTTCTAGAATTTCTCAGTAATCCTGTGTGTCCCTATTGCAGACTTTTCCTGACTTTAGTCTATAGTGAAACCACTGGCACTGTGACATTAAGTGTCCTCCCCAATAAAGCATTAGATAAACAAACCTGGAAGTGGTTCTAATCCATCCCCACTCTATACAAACGCTAGCTAAGCAAGAATCTAACAAAACAGCATGTATATTAGCCTGTAAAATACAACCAAGACACCAAACACTTATGAAGGAGACATTTCACCTGGTCGGCCCGTCCGGTTGACTGCGTTCTTATTGCTGCCAATGCTATCCCCCCTGGTCAGGATAGAAATGCCACTAAAGCTGCTGGCTTTGGTTACTGGAGGACGCATATTGCGGCAGGAGCCATCAGAGTCTGTGCTGCTCCAAGGTCTTGGATCCAGAGATTTCAGTTCACTTTCAGTACTGCTCTGTCGACTACCAGGGCCTCTATTCAGAAAGTCTCTGTTGCCTCTACAGGAAAAAAACATTGGATGCATTAACTACTTTATATTTATATTCCTTACAGCAACAAAGCAGTTTGAAAAATGAATCTGGCTGCTGAACTTTTTCCATCAAATTTGACAGAAAAGCCTCACTTTGCTTTCAGGTTGCACCAGTTACATACTGTGCCTCTAACGCAAATGTTCTACCATCTTACCATTCACATACCACTGACCCAACTGTGCAACAATTATAACTCCCTGAAAAGAAGTTTCAAATGTAAAAACTGCAGCTTCTGCACACCGTTACCCAGAAATTAGTATCAAAGGGAAAAACAAAAGTTTTCAGTAGACAGATGCAGAGTTGTTTAAAGCACAGTTAGAACCACAACAATGAGCGAGTATTACTATACTGGGAGGTGAGATGAATTCGACTCTTGTAATGATAGCTTAATATTGTTTGCAAAACATTAAGGTTAACATGCACAGAAAAGCATTTTATCAACTTATTTATAGACACATTATTATAGTTTATTGCAGTGTTTGCTAAAGTGTGAACATATACTCCCAGTGGTACACACGCTCTGTAAGGTACACAGCACAGCTAGGTATATCAAAGGAAAGGAAAATGGAGGCCGACGTAGACCGAAAGCAGTGCCAGATGACTTTCACAGCAATGGTTGAGGTGTCTTGTGTGTGGGGTTGTACTTTTTAAAAAAAATTATTTGCCTTCAGTATGTGAGGGGCAAGATGGCAATACTCAGTGGCATTACTGGGCACAGACTGCAGCAAAGTTTTTGTTTACCGCTTACACAGCAATGAGTCATTTAAAGGCTAGATGGTTCATACTTGGCAGTGTTTTGGAAAACACTTGCAAAGGAAAGCTTTAAGCCGTTGCATAGCTCAAATGAATGAAGCCAGGCACTGCAAGGTTTCCTTTAGGAGGTGGTGAACAATAGCTAAGTGAATAGTTCTTAGAACACTGTTTCTGTGATAGTGGACCTACAATCAAATGTCCGCATCAAAAGCACTGATCTCTGAAGAGCAGGATCGGCCAGTTCAAATTCTTACAACTCCATTCAGCCAAAACCATGTGACCACTTGCCTAGACTTTTAGATATGTTCAGGACAGCTATTTTGGACATGTTTTCTCCAGGAAAGCTATTCTAATCTCCATCAAAAACAGCTTTTTAGCAGCAGAGCGAGTCAACAAGTACTGAACCTTCTGACCCACAGATGGTCACTAAAGTTTTAAATGGATGCTGACAAGACAAGATTTCTTTTGCCTGCTTGAATGATTGCCTGTATGAATAACTGATCTCATTTTTATGTTCTCTTATTAAAAAATGTAATGAACAAAACTGAAATGGTTATCTCCTATCTTAACTATTAGGCTTCTTTATTGAACCATTGTGGCCCCATGCGGGTGAGCGTACTTGTACGCTGACAGGGACTCCTGCACTTGAGGTGAGCGTAGGGTGGCGTACGGTCACGTACTCCCATAGAGAAGGACAGGGGCTGCGTACTAATCACGCGCAGCCCCTGTCCTTTCCAGGAGCTGCCCGATACGGCTGTGCACGCAGTACGAAGCTGTACGTGCCGGCTTATTCTCGTGTGAATAAGGCCTTATTATTTCCACACATTGTACGCTACCTACTATCTTCAACAAAGGAACATCCCTTTTATCAGATTCTGTCTCATGCATGATGAAACTAAAATAATGGTTAAAGCTTCAGTCCTATCTCCCTTTAAATACTATAAGCCCTTAATCGTAATCTTCCACTAAATAGACAAATTCCTCCCAAAGCTGTGCTTCATACAGCACTCTCCATCTTCGATTACATCTGGGCAGGTTCCCAACAGTTTACTATGTGTTTTAGAGTATGTTACCTATATTTTTTGACATTCACACTAGTGCTTGCAACTACTAATTACACACACAAAAATTGTTTTCAGAAATCTTACTGAACTCCCTTTGATCTCCTGTCACAGGGAATCTGCTCGTCGGGCTCCACTGTCTGCTCCTCACAGACGAGTGGACGAGTGGATTTTTCGAGCCCTGTATGTATATATATATATTATATATGAACCAAAATGTGTATTTTGTTAAATCTATAATTACGACCTTTGTGAATCTTTAGCGATTTTTACTTGAATATCTCCTAACATGTGATGTATTTCATAATGTTTCTCACAACACGACTTGACAACAATTTGACCTACGTTGAATTTTGGATTATGCCCACATTTCATTCTAGCTTTTTCTGTGGTCTGTATGAGGGAGGGCCACTTTGCTTTAGTTTTAGTTTGATTTTCTTAAAAAGTGGGTCAAACTGGTATCTCAGATCTTATATTTCAGGTTGACACTGGAGACTACAGAGCAAACAAATCCACAAACTGTGTGATTTCTAGGGTAAAATAGGAATTTGTGCTTACCATAAAATCATATTCTTGGAGTGCATTGAGAGACACAGGAAGTCATCTATGTTTAGGTTGCACTGCTGCCTGTAAGAGGACTGGACACTGGTAAACAAAAACAATCTATAGGCCAGCCCAGGATAACCCCTACTCTTCCCTGCTTGGCTCAGGTTTGTGGCAAGCAGTACCAAGTGCATAATCATAAACACAGAGTGGGACATGCGTCCCTTAACACATTTCACGAAAAGGATTTTATGGCAATTACAAAAACCCTTATTTCTTTCTCGCCCATTGAGAGACACAGGAAGTCATCTAGTAGTCCTACTGAGGGATGGGTTAGCAGCAACAACTCTAACAGATCCAACAAAACTGGTAACTGCAGCCCAAGAGCCATGTGAAGAACATATGCCCAAATGTGGCACCAGATGAGGTCGAACCCTCTGCCTTATAGGAGAACACAACCAGAGGTAAGAGATGGAAAATCAACCTCATGAATCAAAGGGGAATGACTTAAGCTGTAAGGAAGCACTAACCATGGACCAAGCAGCAAGCTGGTGAACTTGAACCCACCAAAAAAGGTTTGGTTTTTTCTTGTTAGGGAAGAAAAATCCTACAAACTGTTGCGGTTAACAAAGAAAGGGATCAAGCCCTCTAGTAGGAACAGGTAACAGACATGGAACTCTAGGAAAAATGTCCTTGTAAAAGAAAAGGCCCTAAGCCACTAGCTAGACACATACTCACCAGTGCACAAGAGGTGGCCTTTCCTTGACTTCAGAAAGTCAAGGGGTAAGGTTGCTCATGACTCCAGATCCAAGGAAGCACCAGCACCCCAGAAACAAAGGATAGGAGTCTTACCAGGAAAGCGCCTGAGTCATACCAGATTTTCACCTAAGTGAACCCAAAACAATGTAGAGTGTCAGAAAGGCCTACTTCACGCATTTGCGAATCAGCCAAGGAGATGGAGCTTACCCCAGGTGCACAGCCCCTAAAAAGTCAATAAGGAATTCCCTGTTCCTGTCAGAGGATACCCGGAGCAGTTAATTCTGCCCACAGACAGCCCTGGGTGACATGAGGTCCACATCTTTCACAGGTTTTCCTGGACTGGGAGCAGAGAAAATGGTTTCACTTATGCCAGACCAGGTGAAAAAATGGTTTTGTGACTTTAGATTGTAGCACACAGAGTCAGGCCTCGTTCACATATAGCGACATACCTTTGCAGCGGCCGGGATAGCGCGACTTTCGGGGTGACGATCCTGCGACGGTAGCGCGACCTTCTCCGTCGGGCTCCATAGAGAAAAAGCAAAATCGCGCAAAATCCGCCGAAAAAAGGGTCCGGTAGAAGCGACTTGCGACCGCGACATGGAGTTAAGACAGCTCCATTGAATAGCATTGGCCAGCGACTTCTCGCGATATCGCGCAGCAAAAATGCGCGATATCGCGGCGGAAATCGCGCGATAAGTCGCTATATGTGAACGGGGCCTAAAGCAATTGTGAAAACACAGGATCTGTTCTTAGTGGAGAACTCCCCACAAAACTGTTTCAAATACATACATTTAAATACCAAGTAGGTCTGCATATCAATATGTTCATTTGGATGAAATGTGCCCACAGGCTTTGGGCTTATGTCAAAGATGTCAGTTTGAGAAACTTATGAGATCTTTCGAAATTCATTGACATGTGCTTTTGACTTGCAGTGGGCCTCCTTTAAACCTGCTTCAGGCGGGTTTTGCATTCGTATAGACTTGTATGGGAATACACAACCCGCCTGAAGCAAACAAAGGCCCTTTGACACAGGCACTAACTGCCTCTACAAGGTTACACCTATACACCCATATCAGTTCACAAGTCAAATATAAAATAGTAGGAAAAGAAATGAAAACAGGAGTCAAGAAACCTTGCGTAATTCAGCTTATAGAAATAAGAAGAGCAGCATGCTTTGCTGCCCTTCTATATTCTGGACCTTGTGGTACAACAATAAAAATCCAGAGGTTGTAAAGGTTTGGATAAACATAAAATGAAGGACAAAAACATTATGAAGCAGCCATGAATATCGGCCGATGGAAAAACAGTTCTGGCCCCTGTCCGGACATTACAAAACAGGACACTGCAACAAACTACATGTCAATAAGAACCTCACAAGCAGCCATGCGAGAAGGCGTGGGTATCAGTGACCTTGACAGATAATACTCAAGTACACAACATAGAAGATACCTAAACAACTGTCTCCTTTTGTGAGAGAGAGTGGAAAAGCCTTCTCTGTAGACTCTGTTGGTTACATTAAGAGGAAAGGGGAGAAACCGTTTTAAGTCTTCTTTATCCCATTATAGCAAAGGTTTAAAGGTGGACAAGAAGAATCAAAAAGTAACAAATCAAGTGTTTTAAAGAAATGCATACCAATGCGTTTATTCAACGAACTAGCATTTGTCCTGTTCAATTCCAGTAAAATAATTTTAGAATACTCTCGAACATGAACATTACTAATACAGAAGGAATTCTTCACATTAAAAGAGGCACCCATGTTAAGAGACTAATCCGATGGAACATTTCAAAGAGATCCACATCTGCCATAGGTTCTCCTGGACTGGGAACAGCGTCGTTTAGATTTAATGCCAGAGCAGGTTAAAAAAAAAAGTACTGTGACTTTCGATCGTTACACACGGTGTACAGCACTGTGAAACACAGGTTTTGTTCCTAGTGGAGAACTTCTTTACACAAAATTGTAAAATACATTCACTAAATATTTGTATGTACTAGGAGCAGGTCTGCATGCACGTTTGGATGAAATGTGCATAACACAATTCATGTAATCTAGATTTGTTTTATAAAATGACCCTATCATTAGAATTCACAATGAATTTTAAATAAAAACAAAAATAATCTGCTCCCAGCTGCTTCATGTGACAGTCTAGGCAGCCTAGACATCTGTGGCTATTAGACCATTGAAGATGTGTCAAATCATTGGAAACTGCATAGTCTATATTATATACCTGTTGCCTGCATACAGAAAGAGCAAACATGGCTGTCAAGTGCATATTCAATTCCAAACTATACATCAAAAACAATAGGTTTGCTTACACTGAGCAACTTTTTTTTTTTATATTACATAAACAGTTTTCACGTGCATGAAGAAGAAAAAGAAAAAAGTTCCACTTTAAAAGTGTACTAGCCACTTCTATTCAGTGGAAAAATCTTATTGCTTGGGCTGACCCATAAGCAAGAGATTAGTGGGGCCAAAGACAATAAATACTGGTACCACAAAGTCTATACTCTCATAAATTAGGTGACAGCCTAAAACAGATTTCCAGATAAACACAGTGTTGAAATACAGGTGTTCACATAGTTTTGCCTTCCAATTATGTGCGATTTCTGTTTACCCATTCTTGTGATTTCACACCTCTACCACACTGCACAGCCAGAAGGATAACCCTGCTACCTTCTGGTACAGCTGTACTGTTTTCTTTAACACCTCTCTGCTAAGTGGACAGAGGCGATGATACTGGTTCACTGACCACTGAGCAGACTAGAGGCAGAAAGGTGAACCAGAAGCTGCATTACTGAACCAGAAAACAAGTATGTCACCTGCATAACTGTGTAGAGCAGCAGATGTATGTAAATCACAAAACTGGCAGTATAGAATCAGAAGTGAAATGGAAGGTAGCATTATACCTTTGAATTTAAACGTCAGTGGATACCTGGTATGAGTAAACATATGTATTTAAAAACGTTAGTTCATGTCCAAAAGTTCTGCTTTGAAAGCAACCACCTGATGGGGCACACGTGTTCCCATTTCAAAAAGCCTATTAGTAGTTCTTAACTGTAGATCACGCTACAGGTAACAAGGTACTGTACATAAGTTCAAAGGGCAACAGATGAGACATGACTGGGTCTAGTCAGCCCAGACAATCTTGCCAGCACTGTTGGCGATCGGTACACTACACACCAAGGTTTTCCTTATACCCCTGGGGTAGTGAAAGGGAATAATGATGTAAGGACTGGCTTACCTGTTATCAGCAATATGACCATTTTGGGCTGACTGAAAGACAGAAATTAAACATAAATGAAGAATCCGGCAGAAGAATTACATAATTCTATTTTATGTTGGACCAGTGCATGTTTTCCCTATACACGTTTTATATTTTAAGTAGGCAAATATGCAGGTCTGAGACACCTGCTCTTCATATGCAGTTCAACTGGTTGTCTTTCTTATTGCTGGTATGGAGCCAGGGCATGCCAAGTTTGCTCAGTCTTGAAGTTTGTTTGCCTGCAGCAGTGTCATTTAGGGACAGACCATTTCTCTAGCTAGGTTATTCAAGAGCGGGATCTTTGACACCCAGCTCCCCAAACATAATAATAATTTAAAAAACAAAAGACTGGGATGAGAACCACTGCTAACATACTAAAACATGTCTGTAACACATTTCGGCGGCACATAAATAAAACATACAAACTTTAGGGCAGTATGTCCCAACAAATGTAGGAGTGGTGGGTGGTACTGCATGTGCTACAGTCATGACGTTTCCTATTTAGAGGTGCAGGCACCACAAGTATAATTGCTCTGACAAATGAGAAAACATTTATAAAAACGGACTGACCGACATTAATAGGTACTGGCTTACACTGAAACTTCTCATATTTCCAGATTTAAAAATTCTTACCTCTCTTGCAAAAATTCTCTCCCGAACTCTCTGATACTCCTCCTCTCGCTCTTCTATGGATTTACTCCGCCTTCCATCTTGCAAAGGTACTCTAATCTGTAAAAATTGGGTAGATCAATGAGATAAAGACACATGAATGAATAATAGGAATAATGTTATAATGCACACCATGAGACAGAACAGTTCAATATACTAGAGGATCGCATAATAACTGGAGCCTTGGTGAGACACCAGCACTTGATATCATATCTAAGCTGGCTAGTTTGGATTAAAAAAAAAAAACATGTCACAGACACAAAAATGCAAGACCCAAATAAAAGGAAAAAAGGTTTGAAATCACTTTCAACCAATAATGCGATTTTGCAAAAGAACAGACACTGAAATAAAAGGATGGTTTACTAACTTATAGCCAGGAAAATACATATAAGGCCCAATTCTATTCAGATTTATGAAGCTGTCTCAGCTAACCACACTGAGCTCTCTGTGGCTTTCTACTTCAATAATTCAAACCAAGAAGCACACATCTAACTTGCACTGTTAAGTTTCAAAGCTCCAGCATCAGAATGACATGGGAAAGTTATGATGCCAGCTGGAGGAGAAAGAGAGCATGGAATTGCTCCTTTCTGCTGCAATTTGCCTGCCTTTTACTGTGGAAGACAACACAGAATGATTTACCTTGGTCTTTAACTTTAAAGGCACACTTTTAAGGGAAATAAGTATAATGTTCCAAGTCTGCTTTGCCATACATTATCATTAATACACTAATTGCTAGGGATGCACCAATACTAGTATCGATGCCGAGTATTTGGGCGAGTACTCTTACTCGCTCAAATGCTCCAATGCCTAGCCAGATACCGGAGCTTCCGGTATTAGGATGCCAGGTAACGAGTTATTACACGTTGCCCAGCTTCCTGATTGGCAGGGATGCCGGCTCCATGGCCAATCAGGAAACCGGGCAGCGTGTAATGACTTACCGCCTAGCTTCCCGATTGGTCTGGCCTATAACCTGGTGACGAGGAAGCATGGAGCCAGCTTCCCGGCCAATCAGGAAGCTGGGCAAAAAGTCAGTACACGGCGCCCGGCTTCCTGATTGGCCAGAAAGTCGGCTCCATGCTTCTTCGTCACTTGGTGATGAATCATGGAGACGGCTTCCCTGCTAATCGGGAAGCCGTGTGGCAAGTCTTTATGTGCCACTGCTTCCCGGCTAATCAGGAAGCGAGGTGGCGAGTCATTACACGCCGCCTGGCTTCCTTAATGGAACTTCGGTTATTGGTATTCAGCATCGGCGAGTACCGATAAAAAAAATATCGGTACTGGTGCTCAATACCAAAAAAACGGTATCGGTGCATCCCTATTAATTGCATTAATATGAATAAGTGATGGCCTACAATGGTGCTTTATGTTTAACCTCGGTTCAGATTTTTGTTCTGGCGGTGAACAATAATACTCCATTTCTAAAGCAAAAATCTTTGGATTTATCGGTCACTCAGGTGCAGAAGGAGGCAGTTAAAGCATGAAGGAAATATAATAAATATAGTATAATTTCTACTTCTCTCTACATGTATTTCAAGTAGTTGCAGTGGCTACTACATAGTAAGACCTTTATTAGGCAAATCAGGAAAAGGTGTTCGTTTTAACTGGGGCTGCAACTAATGATTATTTTTATAACCAATTAGTTGGCCGATTATTTACATATTACACTTATATACAAAAACAAGTTTACTTCAGAATAAAACTGCATGCACATTTTTTTGCAATCGCTCTGCACTGGAACGCTCAGCATTGCGGTACCATGCATTCCAGTGCAGCAAACTGTGGGTGAGGGGCATTTGGGGTGCATTTAAAATAAAATGGCACTGCAACGCACCTCCAGCAGCAGAATTTATTAGGCCGAAACCGAAAATTGCTTTTTCCCACCTTTTATAATATTTTTTTATTTAATAATTGTATTGTAAGCACATGGCGCTTAAATAGCTTCCGCCAGGGAATGACAGCTACCAGTGACAAGATTCTGCAACGGCAGCTGACTGTAAATACAGCCGGTAGTGGGCTGGTGCAATAGCCATCCTGCTATAGGCCATTTCAAATTGCAATAGCAGGCTGGCTATTGCACCAGCCCTACCTGTTGTGCCCCCCTCCCAGCGTGGAGAAGAGAGCTAGGGGATCTAATCGATAATGAGAATAGTTTACAACTATTCTCATTATCGATTAGTTGGTTGCAGCCAAAGTTTTAACACTAAGTGGAATGAACACAACTGCTTCTATGAATATAAAACCAGATATAAAGCAGTTTCAAAATGCATACAGTACTAAACAAGTATAAAAATTACAAATGCTAGCATATAACTACAGACTGGTGCTTTCAAGTATTTACATTGGGAGACGAGGGACAACTATACAGCATAATAAAAGATATACGTCAATTTAGGGCTCAGTTAAGGAGCTCAGAAGTCAACTGGCAGCATCCTCACCTGATTATCATCACGGTCCATGCTGGCATCGTCTCTCTTTAGGATGAATCTTTGTTGAAATTCACAACTCTTTTCATCTTTGATGTGCTCAGAGAACCTTTGCTCAGGTCTGAAAAAGTAGAAAATATGTGCCTTTTAAACCACTGTGTGGAACAGCTCTAATGACTTTACTAGGTTTAATGGTTTTTGTAATAGTAATACAATACGTCCTACAAAACTCACAGTCAAACTTACACCAAGGTTGGTTAATAAATGGTAATGGAAGGATAAAGAATGCAGAATGCAAAGATTGCCAAAACAAGCTACTTACATTCGTGTGTTACTGGTTTTATTAATGATTACGGCTTTGCCTGTTTGGTCTACGTTATGATCCATGCCGAAGTAAGCAGCAGCACGGTGTAAAAGCATCCTGTGATATGAGGTCATCTGTGGAAACTTTTTAAATTGATTGCTGAAAAAGGAAGACAAGCCAATGAAATGTACATACAATCAACCATACTTCAAGGACATTTACTATTTCATTTTTTGAATGCATGGGAACTGAGAGAAAGGTCTCAAATGTTATCTGTTGCTGCAATGTACATGTCTTATGGTTCACCTGCTGTTGCTGCTTTGTGATCAGCTGTGCTACATAAAATGCTTTACAATAATGTACTGTACCTCTACATCATTTTATATCACACAAGAAGTGATTCATAAAAGGCAAAGCCAAACTGCTACAGGGGAAAACTTTTTGACGTAAGAGATTTTCTGACGAAAAAAGTTTCCCTTTCCCAAAAAGGTTTTTTTATTTTTATTTTGGTGTACACTGCTGGCGGCACATGCTCAGTGCACAGCATACTTGCACATTATATCGCCACTCTCCACGGTACAGTAAAATGGACCAGATTGCTCCTAGTTAAAGGAGAACTATGGGGTTAAGGCTTTCCCCCATAGTTCTCCTTAGGGTAACGGGAGGACAAAAACTAGCGTCCTCCCGTCACCCTAGGCTCAGTATACCGCAAGCTGTAGCTCGCGGTATACTGAGACGCCGCAGCTGAAGTGGACCCCGACAATTATGCCGGGATCCGCCCAGCTGCGAGACTGATAGCTGGCTATCTAGAGGCAGAGCCAGCTGCCCCCCCCCCCCCCCCCCCCCCCCCCAGTCAGCGCTGGCGGAGCAGGGAGGGGGGAATCCATCCCCTCCCGTCACGGCAGAGAGCCGTGACAGGATCGAGAGGTGAGCGAACGCCGGTATGTGTTCGCTCACCTCCCGATCTACTGAGCCACAGTCAGTGTCACAGGTCGGCTAGAACTATAAGGTGAGTGAAAAACAGTCACCTCATAGTTCTCCTTTAACAAAGGGTCTGGACACCCTCTGTTAATCAGGAGCAGGCTTTATGAATGTACCACTCTGTTATTTCTCCCACTGTCTCTGGTATAAAAAGTGAAAGTAAAATCCAAAATTGTGAACTCTTATAGGTACAGAGGAGACATCTTCAAATAGGACAACTGTCCAGTGTGTGAGAGGCATCTTACTTCCTGTTGCATCTCTCACTGACTGGGGGGTCTCCACGGTTCCCTAGTCTTCTCAAAACTAAAAGTTTCAGCTTTACATACATTTAAGCATATACAGTTAAATCACACACTTGGCCAGAACTGCATACATTTATGCGTTTGTGTGTATTTACTTGTTATTTGTGCGTTAATTGTTCATCGTGCAATATCTGAGAAAAAACATTATAGGGTTTTCTTTTTATGGTGCAAATGCATTTCAGGTATTTTAAAAACATAAAAGAACATAGATGGGAACAAGGCACAAAAAAGAATGAGATTTCTACTTAAAATGTATTTCTATGCAGTAAAATGAATGCATTTTACTGCAGGAATACAGATAATCGTAAACACTACTTTCACTAGGAAATACTGGTTTACAGTCTTCGGTAGTGATTAGATGATATCAGTAATAAGTATGACACGCAGTGTATTTTCCATAAGCCAAGGTAGAATGGATTCTAAATACCAGGACAAAAAGCCACTGCAAATGATTAAAAAACAAATGTTTATGCATGTGTGTAAAAAGTCATAAGGCCAGAAGAGACACGCTGGATTTCATTTTTCAACTGAACACATTTAAAAAAGCAGTTAAAGCAAGTGTGTGTTGATTTACCTTCTTGCTTACCTACCCCACTGTGAGAATATATATTTAGAGCACTATTTTTCTGGTTTCCTTTTAAATAGGTCATGTGGGGCAGGTTACAGCTTGTTTATTCATATTATGCTTCTGGCTGTTTACATGGTGATAAGGATCTTGTATTCACACTTACCTATTATCATTAATAAATTCAAGGATTTCTTGTTCTAATTTTAGCAGCATCATTCTGTCCCTAAAGGAATGAAGCACAGTTACATTATTTTCCAACCATATATACCATTGATAGCACCTTTAATTCAGCAGTAGCTCTACCAAACAAATTGAAAGTGCAGCAAGGTAAATATTTTGCTACATTTTCTTGGACAACTGACTTTCCGTATACTTAAAACATACATGTTACATTTGCTTATACATAGGTATAAATAAAGTTTCCAAGAAGGTAAAGTAGGTAATACACGGGTAGATTTTTGCACGAATGTTCGTATGAAAAATACAGTTGGAACGTTTCATACTGGCATCAGAAATTTGCCGATTGAAGTTAGTCTAATTTTCGCTTTTAACATTCTGTTTTGGAATTAATGGAGTTTCCCAACAAAAACCACATTCACTGTTAGAAATTTATTCAAACACACTCCTTTGAACATTTTCGGGAACAGTCGTATTCGTCTGTCTGCACCATACTAATTGACCAATATTCGATAAACGTTCCGAAAACGACTTTGTTCATACAAAATTCTAACCGTTTGTACCCTACTTAAGGCTCGTCGTAAACAGCCATGCAAACCTATATACTTCTATTTTAAACATCTAAGATGTTACAAAAACATAAAACTTCGAAAAGGTCCATCCAGAGCATAAATATACTAGATTTAACTTCTGCATTGTCTGATCATGGGCTGAAGACAGGCTGGTGAAATAAACTGTATTGTTTAACTGCAGTTTAGGAAAGGGAGGTAAACAACCTAAGCTAAGGGTGTGTGGCTGAGCAAAATGACAAATATTTATGCTTGCCTTGAGTGCAGATGGAGGGCCTCTTAACACCACAGCGTTGCACTGAATGGATGGTATTTTTCATTTGAATGGCACCCCAACACACCTCCTGGCGGCCATGCACTGTGGTGCAGTGAAAAGAAAAAAGGAATGCAACGCGCCTTTTTTCTTTTCACCGCACTGTATTGCATCTGCAGAAGCTGCACTGGGGTTTCATTCAATTAAATGGCAACACAACAAGCCATACGTTTGCTGTGCATACATAGTTAGGCAATTTAGCAAAACTCAGACAGAATATGGAGCAGTTACCCATATCAATCAGCTCCTCTCATTTTCTAAGCTTAACAGAACACACTGAAGAGGTTGCAATGGGCAACTGCTTCAGATTCTGTCTGCTCCAGTTTTGATAAATTCCCCTCATTGTGTTTAGCACGGTGCGACTGCGTGAACATGTCCTTAACCAGTTCTAGACATGAAACATTTATACATGACCAAAAAACACTTCGTGGGGGTACACAAGGCATACCAATACCAGAATGTTTTAAAAAGTTAAAATAGCATTTACAAAATACCTTGGGTTATTCTTCAGTGTGTTCACTAAAAATTCGTGTACATCTATTCCAGTAGAATCTGTGTACTCCTGACTAGAATCTGTGAGTACAGGATAAAGAAAATCACTTTCATAAACATCAAATCTTAGAAGTCAGTAGTGTCTTTCTAAAAAAATGTTGGATGCAAATTGCATTACACTATAGTATGGATCAATGCACAATAACTGTTTTACCATGGGAGGGCACAACCTTTAAAAAGAACACTAAATTACATCAGGTGACTTGACACAACATCAATTTAATTGCAGGGGAAAAAATTGATTTTTTTGTACTTGTAAAATCTTTTTTCTTGGAAGTTCGTTTGAGTAACAAAGGATTCAGAAACAATTAGGTTAAACCATCACCTACAGGAGGATTTAGACACAGGAAAGCAAAAACAGTGGCCAGCCACCATGCCTTAGTTTTGTATCAAGCACCCATTTGTTATAAGCAACCTTCTCAGCTTCTGAAAATTAACAAACCAGTTAAAACTGAAAAGTCTGTTTTGACAGCAGCTGAAAGAAACTAGTCTACATTAACTGATGTCACAATAATGAACCCACCTCTAGACAGCATTTTCTTTGGCCCCTTTTCCTTATTTTTCTCATCCTTCTCAGGCCCATCCTTACAGCACTTCTCTTCCTTATCAGAAGGACAGCTGATATGCAAGTGAATAACATCCTAAAACAAGAGGAAAATAAAATTACATCACACATGCAGACAACAAAGCATGATTAAAACAAAACACGTTGTGTCAAGCTTAAAAAGGAGAACTATGGGGTTAAGGCTTTTCCCCATAGTTCTCCTTAGGGTAACGGGAGGACACAAACTAGCGTCCTCCCATCACCCTAAGCTCAGTATACCGCGAGCTACAGCTCGCGGTATACTGAGACGCCGCAGCAGAAGCGGATCCCGGCAATTATGTCTGGATCCGCCCAGCTGTGTTAGTGACAGCTGGCTCTGCCTATCTAGAGGCAGAGCCAGCTGTATCCGCCCCCTCCCCCAGTCAGCGCTGGCGGATTGGAGCAGGGAGGGGGGAATCCAGCCCCTCCCCTTTCACAGCAGAGAGCTGTGACAGGATCGAGAGGTGAGCGAACGCCGGTATGTGTTCACTCACTTCTCGTTTTACTGAGCCGACCTGTGACAGTCTCATTGTCACAGGTCGGCTAGAACTATGAGGTGAGTGAAAAGCACTCACCTCATAGTTCTCCTTTAAAGAGCTCCCTAAATACTCACTGGTTCTAATCAGTCCATATAACATTACTGCAATGCAGAACATGTGGAATATACTGCCTAAACAGAACTGCATTATTAATGCGTAGCTTGGTCACAGCAACTGTTCTCCATCGTGGATCGGCTCCCACAGGAGGCTAAGCGGGCAGTGCGAGGAGAAGAGCTCGCTCTCCTGTGACGGCTGACTCCTCCCCCTCACTGACAGCTCAGCCACCTTTGACAACTGACTCCGCCCACACACCGCCCTCGTGATCTGTGAAGCCTGTGACACTGCACACGAAGCCGTGCAGAGCGAAGCAAAGCTGTCAGGCATGGGACTTCGCGCGCAGTGTGAGCTGAGTGCAGGCAGATGAATGACAGCACCTTCAGCCAATCGGCTCGCGTGTTACAACTGGCTGGACTTCGCATCATGACGTGCGGGTTTATAAGCGCGAGCCGATTGGCTGAAGATGACATTTTTCATCTCGACATGCTCAGCAATGCGCACTCGCAAGCTAACGTGCCGGAGAGAAAATTACATGACACACTAAGCAAAGGCAGCGCGCCACCGCTTCGCGTGTAGTGTGTCACAGCCTTTACAGGTGGCCGAGCGGGGCGGTGCAGGAGGAGAGCTCCTCCTTTGGCACGCTCACAGCACTCTCCTCCACGCCCGGCCTCCTGACAGTTTCTCTCCTCCACGCTGGAAGCTGCGCTGTGTCAGAGGGGACACAGAGCAGCACACAGCAGGGAGAGAAACTAGGGATGCACCAATTTCGGCCAAAAGATGGATCGACATTGTGCCCAAAGTGCCATTTTTGGCTGATATGTTTCAGCAGCCGAAATTTCGGTGCATCCCTACAAAATGCTCAATAATAGTGTTTCTTTATAAGACTTGGTTTAATCTGATTTTACGATAGACATGTTATACATCACAACAGTTAAATCTGTGTCTGTATTGCATGTTCACACCTTAAAAACCATAAGTAATAACAAGTTAGCAGATGTTTACTCCGGGAGTATACGAGATTGGAAATTCTCGAGAAATTGTTAAATTACTCTTTAACCACTATATAGTGGTTTCTTTTGGTGGTATTTAAATCACCACTGGGGTTTTATTTTTTACTATATAATGAAAAAAGTACCGAAAATTTCAAAAAAAAAAATAGTTTTCCCTGCGTTATGTTAAACATTTAATCAACCATATTTTTGGTAAAATATAAAAGACGGGATCACGTCGGGTAAATAGACACCAAACATGTCAAGTTTGGCACCTGAAAGCCCATTTTAAGCTAAAAAAAAACCCTGCAGCGGAATGTGCCAAAAACGCACTGCATTTGCAGATCTGGTCCGAACATGGTGTGAACATAGCCTTAAAAAAAGAGAACATTCTCTACCATCCAACTCCTTGTGCACGGTGGTAAATACACTACCCAATGGCAGCAGATGGTTAAATAACTACAGAAAATAAATTTGCCTTCAGTAATAAACCATTTCATAATGATTTTGTCCTTTTTACGGATATCTAAAGTGCTAGAACAAAATGTTTTTATATTGCAGCTTACCATTCCTTAGATGTGGTGGCTGCAGTGGCTTTAATTTTTAGGCTAAGAATATTTTCAGCAAGTACAGAAACTACCTGTTGCTCTTTCCATAAATGCATTGTCCTCGTCACTTCCTGTGATCTGAACTGAAAACATTTTTTATTTGCCTTCCAAGCGGTTATCTGTAAACTACTAATTCCCCTACCCAATGTCAGAGAGATCAAGGAAGACCTATTTGTAGTCCAAATCTAGAGAGCAGCCTGAGAGACAAGTATGGTTTACTACATAGATACGGTAGAGAAGTAAACATAGCCACACATGGGCAGGAAGTCTATTATTCACAGGATTACCTGGTGAAAATAAAGGAAAGAAAGCCTGTAGAAAGGAAAACTAATGCAGCCACCACATCTGAGGACTGGTAACCTGCAATATATTATATTTTTATATACATGACATCCAATATTACCTGAGGTTCCAAACAGCCATCCACAAATGGTCCAGATGACTCTTCACACACTGCTAAACTTCTTACCAGCTTCAGTTTAGAGTTTGACTAGCGAGAGGGTGTGAAAAGAGATTTCAATTAAATGAAGGAAATGAGAAAAGAAGACATAATAATAACTGTTGATATTTGCATCTATATGTGATTTTATTCCTTACGCAGTAGTAGGTAAAACCAGCTTCTATCCATATCGCACCTAATTAATGTGCGTCAGAAATGCTTTCTTATTTACTGTACAGCAATGTGGAATATATTGCCTAAACAGAACTGCATTATTACTGCGTAACTTGGTCACAGCAAACTCTCAAACTAGAAATCAATATACTAAATGCAACCATGTAAAGGTTTTCTGGACCTACAGCCGCCTTTACATTTAAAATATGTTCAAAACAAACAGCTTAGAACACATATGCAAACAAAGTAATGCATCAATCGAATACATGGGCTTGATACAGCAATTGATTTCAAATGGGGAAGGTGCAGCATTCCTGGGGGGAAAAAAAAATGGTAGAAAGACTGGAGGAGCTTTTAAACTAGATAATGGGGGGGAGGGCATCAACATATTAAACTGTAGTGATAACTTTAACATGAATACATAATAAAGAGGGAAGTAACAAAGGGGCAAATAGTGGGCTCACTCCAGTCACCAGTGCCAAAGCAGTCAATATAGTAAATCCTATAGCTGAAGATAATATAACCTAAACCTTTGTCCAATAACAAGACAGGAATTAAATGTATGTACACAAACGCTAGAAGTCTGGCAAATAAATTAGAAGAGCTTGAACTTATATTTGAAGAGGACTTCGATATAGTGGGAATAGCAGAAACATGGCTAGACAGCGCACATGATTGGGCCACCAACATAGAGGGGTACAACCTGTTCAGGAGGGACAGAGGTGGGAGAAGGGGGGGGGTATGCATTCATGTTAAAAATAATCTAAATATGCATATAAGGGACGATATCACATCAAATAGTGGGGAGGATGTGGAATCCTTATGGCTGGAACTGGACATGACGGACGATTGTCGCAAATTGTGGGTATTTGTTATAAACCACCAAATATAGGGGAGGAGGGGGAGGCTCATCTACAGTCTGAAATAGAAATAGCTGGGAGGGAGGGCAATGTAGTCGTGGTTTGGGCGACCTCAATTACCCGGACATAAAATTGGGCAAATGGAACCTCAAGTTCAACAAAGGCGGGCCACTTTCTGAACATGTTGCGTGACAATTTCATGGACCATATGGTGGAGGTCCCTACTAGGAAAAATGCCGTCCTAGATTTAATCATTACTAATAAAGCAGAGTTAATTGAGGATATTGTTATTGGGGAGACACTGGGAAATAGTGATCACAATGTGATTACTTTCTATATTGGATACAGGAAAGAGAAGCAGGCTGGTAGGACAAGAACCCTTAATTTCAGAAGGGCTAACTTTGATAAACTGCGCCACCTAGTGGGGGGGCATCAAATGGGAAAATTTATTTCACAAACTGAACTCGGACCAAAAGTGGGAATGTTTTAAAAAAAACACTTTACATATTGCCATTGCCAAATGCATACCGTTGGGTAATAAAAGATCACAAACAAAACCTGTATGGCTTAATAAAACTGTAAAGCATCACATAGAGGAAAAGCGAGTCGCATTTATAAAATATAAGATGGAGGCGACGGCATTGTCGTTCTATAACTACAAAGAATGTAAGAAAAGATGCAAACTAGCGATACGGGCATCTAAAATAGAGTGCGAAAAGCATATTGCCACATATTGTAAAAAAAAAAAAACAGTAAAAAGGGGAGAAAGGAGCAGATAGGCCCTACAGAGGACGAAAACGGGAAGTTGGTCACAAACGACTAGGAGAGGGCCGAAGTGCTGAACACTTTTTTCTCCTCAGTATACACTCAGGAGGGAAACGGGTTTGACACCGATAATAAAAACACATAGTTCATCACAAAATATAGCCAAGTGGTTGACCGAACCCTGGCAAATAAATTAGAAGAGCTTGAACTTATATTTGAAGAGGACTTCGATATAGTGGGAATAGCAGAAACATGGCTAGACAGCGCACATGATTGGGCCACCAACATAGAGGGGTACAACCTGTTCAGGAGGGACAGAGGTGGGAGAAGGGGGGGGGTATGCATTTATGTTAAAAATAATCTAAATATGCATATAAGGGACGATATCACATCAAATAGTGGGGAGGATGTGGAATCCTTATGGCTGGAACTGGACATGACGGACGATTGTCGCAACTTGTGGGTATTTGTTATAATGCAAATTGTGGGTATTTGTTATAAACCACCAAATATAGGGGAGGAGGGGGAGGCTCATCTACAGTCTGAAATAGAAATAGCTGGGAGGGAGGGCAATGTAGTCGTGGTTTGGGCGACCTCAATTACCCGGACATAAAATTGGGCAAATGGAACCTCAAGTTCAACAAAGGCGGGCCACTTTCTGAACATGTTGCGTGACAATTTCATGGACCATATGGTGGAGGTCCCTACTAGGAAAAATGCCGTCCTAGATTTAATCATTACTAATAAAGCAGAGTTAATTGAGGATATTGTTATTGGGGAGACACTGGGAAATAGTGATCACAATGTGATTACTTTCTATATTGGATACAGGAAAGAAAAGCAGGCTGGTAGGACAAGAACCCTTAATTTCAGAAGGGCTAACTTTGATAAACTGCGCCACCTAGTGGGGGGGCATCAAATGGGAAAATTTATTTCACAAACTGAACTCGGACCAAAAGTGGGAATGTTTTAAAAAAAACACTTTACATATTGCCATTGCCAAATGCATACCGTTGGGTAATAAAAGATCACAAACAAAACCTGTATGGCTTAATAAAACTGTAAAGCATCACATAGAGGAAAAGCGAGTCGCATTTATAAAATATAAGATGGAGGCGACGGCATTGTCGTTCTATAACTACAAAGAATGTAAGAAAAGATGCAAACTAGCGATACGGGCATCTAAAATAGAGTGCGAAAAGCATATTGCCACATATTGTAAAAAAAAAAAAACAGTAAAAAGGGGAGAAAGGAGCAGATAGGCCCTACAGAGGACGAAAACGGGAAGTTGGTCACAAACGACTTGGGAGAAATAATAGGCAAATGGGTTATACAATTATGGGTATGCCGCTAGGGAAGTCGGAAATGGAGAAAGATTTGGGGGTCATTGTGTAAATAGATACGAAACATGTCAAGCCTTAAAACTGCCTGCGCCCGCAAAATCACGAAAAACGCCGACAGGCGACGATTAAAACGCTTTTATTGCTCATCAGTTTAGTGTTATCAGTGATTAATGGCTCTAAAATTATTGCTCTCCGACGTTTACGGCCATATGCAATATGTGCGGCACAATAGGTGCAATCATCGTTTTCACGCGTAGGCGCACCCAACGCATATATGCGTGTGTATGTGGGGGCGGGGACCTAATTTTTTTTTTCTTTTTTAATGCTTCATTTTTTTTGATTCTTTAATTTTTGTATTACTTTTTTATTTTTTTATTTTTTTACAAACAACTTTATTGCTATTAAATGGGGGGGCTAAGAAGCCCCCTATGTGATAGCCAAATTACATGACAGGTCCTCTTTATGGAGACATCAGGGGTCACCTAGGGACCCCCAGAGAAGCTGATGAAGCAGAGATACGTTTCATCAGCTTCTGTAGCTGGAGAGTGACACTGAATGCAGGAAGTGATGTAAGATACATCACTTCCTGCATTCGGGGACTGAGAGGAGATCAAAGGGCGTTCTTATATTGAACTCCCTCTGATCTCCTGTCAGAGCCGTGCCGGTCCCGGCCGCATCGGGCACAGCGGATCTCGGGACCGGCAGTGACAGCTGCTAATACAAGCGAAAGAGCGTCTCTTAGAGACGCTTGATCGCTTGAATGTAAAAGCTGCTGGTCAGGCTCCACCGTTCTCTCGTCACAGACAAGTGGACAAGTTGATTTTGCAAGCACTGTAACATGCATTTTGTTAAGCACACTGCGCGGTTGTTCTTTTTTACATGCGTTTTACACAAGTACATACAGTCGTGCATTTTTGCGAGCAGACTGACCCATTGATGTGAATGGACAAACGTGCCTAAAAAAGTGCAAAAACACAGCAAGTGTGTTTTTTTAGCACTTCCATTGAGGTCTATGGGGAAAAGCAAAATATTGCCAAAAAGAAGCTCATGTACTTTCTTCAAGCAACGGGTGTTTTGCCCCAAGCGGGCCATAGAAATGAATGGGGTTTTTTTTTTAATCGTTTTTTTTTCCAAGCAGAAAAAGTGCTACAAATCGCTTAGTGTGAATGAGGGCTTACCAAGTATCCCGCAATCATACCAGTGGAAGAATTAGGAGAGAAAAAAAAAGTCAGAATCTGTTGTCCCCCTACACATTTACCTTTTCCACACGCCCCCACTACCTGTTTGCCCCAAGGAAAACAGGCAGTTACAGAGGACGAAAGCACCTGCTCCCACTCCTCCTCCCTTCATGTGAAAGCTCATAGGCCTGGAGACCGATATTCTGAAACCCAGCGTGTTATGAGTGGAAGGGGAGCAGAAATGTGCCCTTTCATACCTGGAAGTACAAAGGTGGAGGGAGAGCAGGAAAGGGAAGTAGACAAATATTAAGTGGCTCCGTTTGATGTTTCGGACCAGACCAAGCTTGTAGTGCAGTGGTCTCTTTGAAATATCCACTAATCTGCATGTTACCAGTCTTCCAGACTGCAGAACCTAAGATTTATAGCTCATATTCAGAACTGTAAATAACAATGCCATTGGAAACCGTCTTGGTTTAGCCAAAGTTCTTAAATGTAGAATTCTCCTCTTTCCCCAAAATGATGTGCCTCCACCCTTGCATGGAATTGTAGGTAAGGACAATGCAGCAAGACATAAATTGTCGGTGAAATGAGGATGGAGTACAAGTAGCCAGTGATTATTTCTGAAATGTGGGCGGCATGAGTTATACTTGTGTACCTTGGCTCGTTTCCTAGCATGTCCGTGGCTTGGATTCCGCCTCTGCACCGTTGGTAGAAAATTGAGAAAGAAAATAACACAGTAAGTGCAATGGAAAAATATAAACACAATCCAAATTAGACACCGTGCATGTTACATATAATTTCAAGTGATAGATGATGACATGTTTTGATTCCCTAATAAGGGCTGTTTATCTGAAAACTGCCAGTGGTAACGCTTCTCGCATTATTATAGACAAAAGCAAAGTATACAAGTGGCTGCCTAAGGCAGGGGTGCCAACAATTTTTGTGTTAAGATCTACTTTTCAAATGAGGAGCTACATGAGATCTACCAACAAAATAAAAACCGCTCTCTCTCTCCTGGCTGTCTCTCCTGGCTCGTCCCTCCTCGTGCTCTCACCCCTGGCCGTCTCTCCTCGTGCTCTCACCCCTGGCCGTCTCTCCTCGTGCTCTCACCCCTGGCCGTCTCTCCTCGTGCTCTCACCCCTGGCCGTCTCTCACCACGCTCTCTCCTGGCTCACCTTGCAAGCAGTTTAGTGCAAAAGGCTGTGTAAACTAATATTCTTTGATGTAATACATAGCACTTCAACCACCAGTGTCCCCCAGAAAGGTGTCAGTGAGCTTGGCTCAGCAGACTCGGGCTAATAAGGTAATCATGTGTGCACAGCTAAATAAATAGACCAAAATGGAATAAAGGGACCACCATTCACACCCTTCCTGATCTACCAGCATCAGGTTTTAGAGCTACTGGTAGATCACGATCTACCTAATGGGCACCCCTGTGCTAAGGTAACATTAAAGCCACTTGTTTACGGTTTGTCTTGTTAGTCTGTATAACCGACTTGATATTTTATCTGCAGCTTTAATCAGACCTAGCATCCGAGATATATTTTTTCATGTTAAATTACTTGAAAATATAACACTTCAAGGTGTCTGTTACATCTCCAAGTTCACAACGTTTCTCTTCATAATACTTACAATGTCCTATGTTACCAGCCATCTTTGGATAAAATTCAAAGTCTGCATCTACTTCTAGGATTTAAGATACTTGCCCAGATGGCACAATCATGTAAATCGCAATGTCCGATCAGTAGTTTTTGGCTGTGTTTCGCACAGTTCAGCCCCTTGCTGCTGCTGCCTCTGTTCAGGCATTATAAAGATTCATCCTATTCCTATACCTTAGCCCTGCTGCTCCCTTTCACCCTATGAGCTGGCAATGTAAAAACCCTTTACAGCATTACACAGAATAATGGTAATGCTGCCTTTTATTCTTTTAACCTGACCGGATACACTGAATGGAGTGGTCTCTGGAGAAGGGAAGGCAGAGGAGGTTCTTCCTCCAGCAGACTTAGGACATTTTCCCTTGTACGCAGACATTTAGAGACTGCCTAAACACAGTGAGGGGAATTTATCAAAACTGGAGCACACAATCTGGAGCAGCTGTGCATGACCACCAATCGGCATCAACCTATAATTTTCGAACCTTACCTGAACAAACTGAAGAGCGAAGCTGATTGGTTGCCACAGGCAACTGCTCCAGATTCTTCTGCTCCAGTTTTGATCAGTTCACACCTGACCGTTTTGTAGCGCGTCCTACGCTCGACGAACGCGCTACAAAACGGTCAAAAAAATAAATAGCATTGTAGTCAATGCCCTCGTTCCCACCTAGGCGTATTTCCGCCCGTCCCTAACGCCCTACAAAACGGCCCACGCCTGAAAAGGTCCCGGGACTACTTTGGGCCGTTTTCCATTGGGATAAAGCCAAGTAGCCTTTGGGGTCGCGCTACTTTTACCGCGAATCGCGGTAAAAAACCCGCGCGACAGACGCGCATATTACAATACGCCTAGGTGTGAATGGGGCCTTAGCATATAATTATTCCCACCACCAATGCATATGTGCTGCAACAACAACAATTATGCATGTAGCATGCCTAATGACGGAAATCCTGGGACTGCTATGATAGCCATGTCAACTTTCAGTCACATCTTTTAGATTGTAAGCGCTCACAAGGCAGGACCCTCTTGTACTGTATTGTAACTAATTTCTTCCTTATATTGTAAAGTGCATCACACACTGTAGCCCTATATAAATCTTGAATACGAAGAATATAAAAATGCTATAACGCTTCCCCTGTGTAATAATTGCCCAATATACATGAATGGATCCCAGTAAAGGGAGTGACAATAAGTAATTTTTTTGAAGTTAGAAAGCCTGAAAGTGTTTTAAACCATAAAGGAAAAGGCAGCTAGTTTTATTAGGTCCACAGCACAGGAAAAAAACTGATAAGTCTTTGCAGAAACGCCAGTCCTAAGTTTTTGGATGCACAGTACATGTGAAAAAAAACCTTTAAGACGGCATTCACACCTGCACGTTCAATGAACGCACGCCAAACATGCACAAAACCGCACATGTTGACAGAAACGCTGCAAAACGGCGTGCGTTGCTATTCATTTCTAATGACACCCCAAACGCAGCCAGGAAGATGCCCATTATTCCTCCACATGTGTGCACATTAAAAAGCTAACACAATCTTGTAGAGGAACTGCTGCGCTCCTTACCGGAACCCCTATGTATGAAGGAGGGCGCTATAGTAACCACGCATGGCGCCGTGCATCTTCAAATATATTATAAATGTCACCAGCACACCAATGTCTTGTGTCAATAATCCATCTTTATTGATGCAGACTATCACAAAATGTTTCGGGGCCACGCAGGGTCCCCTTCATTAGGTTTTAGTATGACAATATCATACTAAAACCTGATGAAGTGGACCCTGCATGGCCCCAAAATGTTGTTTTGTAACAGTCTGCATCAATAAAGATGGATTATTAAAAAGCTTACAAACACAGATATGAATATTGTGCATGTTGAGAGGTACTAATGCTATAAATTAAAAAACATTTTTAGTTACTTTTTTTAATATGTCACAAGTAACATTTCATTAAGTTTTATGGGCACAGAGCGGTGAGGTTGTATCCTCGCCACTTGTCTTGCGTTGGGGCTGCACTGGAATGTTGAAGTTTTTGGGAGTTTTTTTTCTATACACTTTTTCAAAAAAAAAAAAACAGTGAGGGAGATAAACCTGTACAGAAGAATATACATTACTATGGCTAAAATAATTGCCTTTCCTGGGAAAAAAAGGCTCCGACCTATGCCAGTCATGTGGCCAAAACATATGCATTTGGTCATGTGAGCTCTGCTTAAGGAAAGATTAGAATTCAGACTGGCTGATGATTCCCTTAGCAGAGATTACTTGACCAAACGCCAAAGCTTTTGGACACATGACCAGCATGGGAAAAATGAGTATTCCATCCGTGCTATCACTATTTATTCAGCCCTAGGGCACTCTATTATGTGAATATTACCTTCAGAAAAAACTTGTTTCCTCACCTGCAACATATTTTTGGTCAGCGAGGCAGCTCATCACACTTAGTGAGGGCAGAGTAAAAATACTCTCCCCGCTCGCTGTTACATCCGGCATGAGGTATTGTAGCTGTCACATATCGCCTCTCTACCGAGAGCTAAGCGATCATGTAACCACAGGGGTGTCTTCTCCCTGCAGAGAGCGGTGACAGTCAGTTATTGCTCCCCGCAGGGATTCCCCCCTCCCCTCTCTGTTCCTCCAGTGCACATTGGAGGGACAGACAGGGGAGGGGGTGGGCATAGCTGGCTTTGGCTCTAGAGAGGCAGTGCCAACTGTTAGAATCCTTCCAGGCTGCTGCACAGCTCTGCGTTGTCAGCAGATAGTGGGATTACATTAGTAAATGTACTCCTGTGACCCCAAGAAAGGCTTTGATTTACTTTTTTACTACTTTAATAAGCAATACTAAGGTGAGGGGCAGAATAAAGCGCCCAATGCCTAACAAAAGGAGATATTTGCATAATAGCTCCCTTCATTGAAAGTGTCATTCCCACTTTCATGTTGCGTGAACACGCACCGAAGCGCACACTTTGGTGTGCATTCACGCAGTGTCAAAAACATGCAACGCGCTTATGGTGCCATTACTTGCAGTTACATGGCACCCCAAATGCGGCTAAATGCCCATATTAGCCTGCGCATGGATGCGTGTCGAACACGCACAGACTTGTGGTGAAGAAACATGGGAAGCTCGCAGCTGAAAATCACAAGTGAATGTGCACAAACGCACGCATTCACACACCGCACAGGTGTGAATGGGACCTTAAAATACAATGTACACCTTTGGCACTAAAACAATTAATACATTCAGTTCTGCTGCTTTTACACAATAAATTTCCCGACCAATACTAGCTAGCAGCTTACTCTTATGCCTCACTGTATATTGAGCAAAACGTAGTTTCCCAGCATGGGTGCCAGTTGAGCAGTCATTTAACAATCATGCAGGGCCCTCCCTACCATCTTGTCTAGAATTGTATTGTAATGTCTTCCTTGTATTGTAAGCGCTGCGCAAACTGTTGGCGCTATGTCAATTCTGTATTATAATAATAATATGAGTTGCATTCTAATAAAATTCATGTATGGCGCTTTGCAAGTAATGATTTACTGCGGATTTTGTAATCAAGAGGTTGAGTTAAAGCATAGGATCAAGAGGACAGGAAAAATGGGTATAATCCATTCAGTAAGACAACTATTAGTAGTAACCACTTCCTATCCATCAAAAGTGGATCCACATCCAATATCTGCCTTCCGTTTCTCAATTATTGTTAGTACCTGAATATTAAGTAATATGAATAGACTAACTTGGGGGTTAAACAAATGCAGCTATGTGCAGTGCATAGGGGAAACAAGCCGTCCGCAAAAGCAGCTGGGTCTGAAAGCATTCTGAGAGGAACACTAGGACATGCAAGAAAGAATATGGGGGAACCCTACGGTGTAGTAAAATTAATAAATTGTATAAACCAAAGTGAGGATCTAGGAGCTCAACATATGCTAATTGCTAATCATGACTTATGCCAAGAAATGCAGGTGCGGAGAAGACAGTGAAGGCAAGGCAGTTATGGATGCAGTACTTTTATTGACCATTCCCTATTGCCTGCATGTCCTTATTGTCAAGGAGCAGAGATATATGCACTGCCGATTGTGCCGGATACATAAAATAGTACATTGTGCTAAAAAGGAAAAGCCTTTACCATGAATTAAATCCTAATTGTCCAAAGTACATCTGGTCACGAAGGGGTATAAATAAACCCCTGATGTACCATTATAATACATATAAACACAGTTGATATACCTGTAGGCGCGTCAGGTGATCATAAGACCTACTATGTAATAACAAGGTAGTAATTAAAAGGACTCTCTAATGTGTGATAGCACACATGATATTGTAGTGTGTTCCAGTAAAATGTTTAATAAGACTAGAACATTAAGAAACCGCAGCATGAGCAAACCACTAATAGTTGTAAAGCCCAACTGAAAAGAGATATTACATCAGTACAAGAGCATATCAACTATTAAGATGGGGTGGACAAATTCATATGGAATTCAGGATCCAGTCTGTCCAATCCAGGATGCGGCTCCATTGACAAGGAAATCCTCAAAGGAATTTTGGCCGTAATTTTTAAGGAGCCCTGGCTACCTGGCTCCTGGGATTTGTCCAGCCCTGTATTTAAATATCTTAAACAGTTGAGTGGCTAGAAAAATAAGCTGTAATGCATAAAAAGTGTACATGTGGGAGGAGTGGGGAACTACAGAAAAAACATCAACCTGTGGTTCTTGACGTGCATTTGGCTCGTCTGATTCTGGCTCCTCTTTACTTGGTGATCTTGACACTGCCTTGCTTCTGTTCACAGACTCTTCGACCAAGCGTTTTTCTGACTCCTTCATGATCTCCAAAGTTTCCTGGGCTGTGTGGCCATGGGACATCTTCAGCATAGTACAAAGCAATTGGCAGCAACCTGCGTTAAAGGAAAACAGATTGTAAATTACAAAAACTATAAATAAACTTTAACATAATAATATGGCAGCAAAACAAAGCTAGAGAAATCTAAGGGGCCATGAAGCCAATGTGGTGCTGAACCTTTTGGAGCTTTATTTTCTACTGTGACCAATGCATGCAAGTGTTTCCAATTTTAAAGATGTATTGCACCTTTTGCAAAAGGGAGTAATGACCTAGTATAAAAAGGCCACAGTGTCTCTTAAGGTCTCCCAAGAAACCCCGGAGTTTTACAAAGTATTTATGATAAAACATTGCCCACACAACTTTGCCAACTACATGCAGCTCAGAACATCTCTCCAACTTCTAAATGCAATCCTTACAGTGCATGTCCAGAGAAAACTTTTTTAATTATTATTGGTTGTTACTGCAATCTGGGCCTGGAAACTTGCTATCTGACATTTTACCACAGAGGAAGTGAGGGGAACTCTCCAACAGCATCACAGGGTAGTAAAGGGTTTCTTTAGTACAGTAGGGGAAGTCTAGAACTTGTCAGATTTTTATTTTTCTGTATCCCTTCACTAGGTTTTTAACTCACTGCCTTTCTGGGGAGATCCTCGTCATTGGGACAGAAAGGTAGGGTACATTATTCTAACAAAGTTCCAGTTAGCAGTGAAACCCTGAAAAGGGTTCTACTCCTCTTTGCTCTATCCAAAACTAGAAAAAAGGGTCTCGACTTGACATACACTTAAACAGATATTCTTCTATGATCTTCTTTAAGCCTGTGACTGAACCAAGCATGGCTAGTTAGCGCAACACATTAAAGTGACACTAAACTCCAGAGTTGCACCTTAAAACTGCATTTGAGTACCTTCACCATTAACAAAAATGTTATCTCATTTGTGTATCACTCGGCTGTAGATCCTCAAATCATCTCTGAATTGGTGCTGACACTGTCCTTCCTTCTGGAGGGTGGCTACGTTTGTTCCCTATGATCCCTGTGTGTGTTGTAAAGTAGCAACAGCTCCAAGCTCACACCTGTGATGGACTACAATCTCATGTTTAGTTTACATATTTGTATTGAGATTGAAATCCATCACGAGAGTGAGCATGGAGTGGTGGCTACTTTACAACACACAGGGACCAAGGGGAACAAAAGCAGCCACCCTCCAGAAGGGACAGTGTCAGCACCAATTCAGAGATGATATGAAGCTCTACAGCCGAGTGATACACAAATAAGACACATTTTTGTTCATATTTAAAAAGGTACTTGAATGTATTTTTAATTTGATTTGAGGTAATGATTGAGATGATTAAAAGGAGAACTATGGGGTTAAGGCTTTTCCCCATAGTTCTCCTTAGGGTAACGGGAGGACACAAACTAGCATCCTCCCGTCACCCTAGGCTCAGTATACCGCAAGCTGTAGCTGGCGATTTACTTAGACGCCGCAGTATACCGTGAGCTGCTGCTCGCGGTATACTGAGACGCTGCAGCTGAAGCGCATCCCGACAATTGTGCCGTGATCCGCCCAGCTGAGTGACTGACAGCTGGCTCTGCCTATCTAGAGGCAGAGCCAGCTGTACCCGCCCCCTCCCCCGTCCGTTCCGCCAGTCAGCGCTGGCGGATCGGAGCGGGGAGAGGGGAATCCAGCCCCTCCCCCTGTCACGGCAGTGAGCCGTGACAGGATCGAGAGGTGAGCGAACGCCGGTATGTGTTCGCTCACCTCCCAATCTACTGAGCCGACCTGTGACAGTCTCATTGTCACAGGTCGGCTAGAACTATGAGGTGAGTGAAAAGCACTCACCTCATAGTTCTCCTTTAAGACACATTTTGTTAATAAAGGTCCTTGAATGCAGTTTTAAGGTTTAACTCCTGAATTTAGCGTGACTTTAAATTCGGCACTAGAGCCACCACAACTGAATAACATGGAAGGAAAACATGCAGAAAAAAAAAAAAAAACTTTGTATACAACAAAGTGAAACAGCTGCCTTCAGACAAAGGCTATGCATAGCACACAGTGAGGGCAATTTATCAATACTGGAGCAGACAGGATTTGGAGCAGTTGCCCATGGTAACCAATCAGCATCCACCTTTCATTTTCAAACCTTAGCTGAACAAACTGAAGCTGATTGGTTGCCATAGGCAACTGCTCCAGATTCTTCTGCCCCAGTTTTGATAAATCCCCCCTACCCACACAGTTTTTTTAGTTTTAGATAAGGTAGTTAAATGGTGAAATGTGATTTGAGTAAATCAGAGGACTGCTACTGTTTGTTCACAGCCAGCACTGCAAATGTCCCTCTCCAGGCCCCGTCTGTCTCCCAGCAGGGTGGTGGCCCCATAGAAGTCTACAGGGCTCTAAGGTGTAGGTGCCATTAGCAGAGGAAGCATTGCAGTGCTGGATGTAAACAATAGGAGGAACCATACCCGTCAGATCTCGGTATGGATCTGCCTGTGAGGGAAGGTGGGATTCTTTAGGTCGGGGTGAGGGACAGAAAGGATAAGTGCACTGGTTTTAAAATGCACTTAACCTTTGAATCTCTGTTAGTGTATTTATTGCAGTCTGTATCCGCTTGAGTAGATTTTGTCTAACTTCCTGACCCAGAGAGGCAACTGGAAAAAATAACTTTTACAAGTGAGGGAATTTTCCCTTTTAGACGACTCTCACCAAAATCAGGTGTCCCCATTAAGAGCTTGTTCACACCAGCTGCCGCGCTCACAATACCCCCTCATCGAACTGCAGTGCACTTAAAAGGTTTTTCTTGGAGCATTATGACATATAGCATACTAAATGTACTTTTTACCTTAATCCTGCTACTAGTATTCTTTGCTTCCAAAGCGACGGCACATAAGAGATCTCCTTGTTTCAGAAGTCAGTTAAGAGCCACCAACAGCCCTGCCCCCAGTTTGAACCTTCACAGGGGGCGGCAACAAGGGTTGTAACCTGCCCTCTCCTTTTCCTCAAGCTCACAATCTTCGGTGTGGCCGCGCTTTCTAAATGGGCGCACACCTTTCGGACCTGAGCGTTCACACTGTCACATGGGTCTGTATCCATGGCAACGTGATGGCACACTTAACAGGAAATAGTGGCTGCAGCACAGTGAGGCGAGACACCCTGCAGTCTAAAGCTGGCCATGCACCTATAGATTATCTGCCTTGTCTTGATTTTGGGCTACACTGAAAAAAATGGCGAGCGCAGCCTGGAAAGAAGAAGATGGCGTGAACAAGCCCTAAAAATTTCCACTAATGTCCTGCTATGGTGACAAATGGGAATTTCGTATTTCACCATCACTTTCTGACTCTACAGTAGTCATCCCATAACAAGAGTTCTTGAACAAGGGCCCTAATGGCAGGACCAATACAAAAGCACTCAGTTATGTGAATACGCTAAAAAACATCAATACCACCACTTCTTTCTATTCATACCTCTCCATTATCAGTGTGTAGGTAAGCCTAGAAGCCTGCAGACATTTTCTGCTGCCACCTGGCATAACAAGTGAGGGAAAATGTCAGCAAGAACACTGACTTGCTGGGATTTGTTGTATTCCTCTATACCTGGCGGTATTCTGCATTGCGCTGTATAATGTGCTTTTGCTGGGTTTTGTAGTCCTCTATAGCCGGTGCCATTCTGCATTCATTGCTGTATAATTTTACACTTTCCGTTTCACTATATTGCACACCACACTATCTTTTTTCTTTTTTACTTCCACCGCTCCAAGCTTGCTCCTGTGATGGACTACAACCTCAATACAAACTAGTAGTCCTATCACTGGAGCCATTTTTTAAACTTTATTTTATTGTTTATCCGATTAACCGATTAATCGAACCTAATAATCGGCTAACTAATCGATTTTGAAAATAATCGTTAGCTGCAGCTCTACTGACCACAATTAAAAAAAACAATATACAGCACTATAATGCCTGAAATACTAGACTAGGCCATCTTTATTAAACAAATCTGAAGTCCTAGACCAGTGGTTGTCTACTTACAAGGTGCAGGGGGCCGCAACTGCATAAACAGAGATCACATGACTAAAGCTGGCCATATACAGACCGAAGTTCAGCCAATGCCTGCTGAATTGGCCAAAATGCAACTTGCGGATTGCCCTGCCAGCACCACACGCCTCAACAATAGTTGAGATCTCAGTTGACAATCAACTGCGTCCAGTGTTTGGATATTCTGACCGGCTGTCTGAATACAATAGCTGGCAGGGGAAGATTCCTACGCCCCAGCTCTTTATCTAGGATTGAATGATCTTCTCTTGTTTAGCCCACAGGTCTGAGCAAGAAAAATCTTAAGGTATCTCAATGTCTTCAGATTTGTGGCCATCACAGAAGGGAACATCATTTTCTGCAAGACCAGCATTTCAATTCTTTCTTAGTGAATTATACATTCAAGCAAGTCTATGAACACAGTTTTATGTGAACGTTGGAGAATTGATCTTTAAAAGAAAACCGGTCAAGAGAATGATGTTGCTGAACCATTTCAGAAAATGGCTCTTCCTATAGGTCAGTGAAGCTGCTGTCCATCATAGTAACAGACCAATAGGTATTTGTGATGTCAGAAAGAGAGCAGCAAGCTCAGACACCATCTGGAACAGCCCAGCGTTCAGCTTGGTTTTTGAGGCTGCTGCAGGTATGTAATTTAAACCTTCAGCGGAGAATGACAGAAGTTGACAAATACTGAGCTCCCTCTAGTGGCTAATCTGGAGAGATCTACATTTTATAGAATAGAAAGATATAAAAGAAAATGTGAAAGATGCACCAAAAATGACCAGTGTAACTCATGCAATTATAAATGTGAATATTAGAAATAAAATATTTACATTTTAAGAATGTTAGACATTGGCTGTTAGAGTTCAGCCAACAAATCCTAGTTTTGGTACCAGAAATTATTTTCTTTCCTAACCAGTTATAGCAATATTTATTTTGCAAAAAAAAAAAGAAGTCACTGGTGGTTAAGACAAACTAATGTTTTGTGTAATAGTGACAATCATTACAAGGTACACTAACAAGTAAAATAT